AAGAACCCAATTAATACTTACAATCATCCTTTTTTTGAATCCACTGTACACAATTAATTCTACCAGTGTGACCATTCAGAGTGTGAATAACAACTCCTTTCTATGAGAAAGGAAACAGTGGTATTAGTAATTTATAGTTCAAGATTGGACCTAAACAAAATCAAGATTTTTCCCCCTAACATCAGCTATAGCTACCCAGCTATGAAGTTGGATAACTTCCTATAGGTTTCTCTTGCTTAACAGAAATTAAGTCTAAAGAATTCATGCATGATTCACAATTCAATCTAAAATAATACAGTAGCAAACTTCATGGGAAGCAGCTCTGTGAAGCTATTTTATGACTGATACTTTACCTTGGAAACTAGCTTGGATCGCCTTACACTATGTTTTACAACCAAACTCTGGCAACCGATAAAATATGACAAAAATCTGTACTTTCCCAGGTTCAACAAACATGACACTAGCCACCAGACCACCTGGTATGACACAGTGTGGTACAGGGGAGGGAAGAGGGAAGGGGTGGGGGGGACGGTAGTGTTAGATTTGTGGTCAAAAGACCTGAGTTCTAGTGAAGTTCAAGTACCTCCTTGAGGCCAGGGAACATAATTTTTTATCTTGGTACTCCCAATAGTGTATTAAATAGAGAATTGCCACTGAAGTTAGTAAGACTTGAGCCCTGCCTCTGATACACACTAACTGCATGACCAGAGACAAGACGCTTCACCACACACAGCAACAATTAATTGAACATAGCAGCGTATATTTGATAATGCCAAGAACACCGCCGCTGGGATAAGGAAAAACCCAAATTTTAACAAAAACTGCTATGAAACAAAGAGATCAAAGAAAGGACCAACATATATACAGTTACTTACAGCAGCTCTTTTTGTTACAGCAAAGAACTGGAAACTAAGTGGGTGCCCATCAATTAATGGCTGAACAAATTAAAATAAATTAATGTAACAGAATTCATGAGGAAAAGAATGGTTTCAGGTAAAGCTTGTAAGAATTAATGCAGCATTAGTGCAACACTCTTCCTGATGTAGACCATACTGTCCGTGGGGTTTTCTTGGTAAAGACACTAGAGTGGTTTGCATTTACTTCTCCAGCAAATGAAGGCAAACACAGATTAAGTGACTTACACAGTTCTTAAGTGTCTGAGGCAGATCTGAACTCAGGTCATCCTGACTCCAGGCCTAGAACTCTAACTACTGAGATACCTACCTGTCTCCAGTGGCATACTACCTCTCACATACTATACTCCAGCCAAATTCAATTGCTCCCTTTCACCAGCATAACAATGCCAAAAATCTTGTCAAAAAACAGGTACAGCCGGAAATGACACCAAATGACCCTGGCTCTTGAAAGTTTCAAAAACCTTTATGTGAGCAAATATTTATTATCTATCTTATAAGCTATACCACGTTAGGCAACATGGGGAGAATACAAAGAGTTCTAAGCTATGGTCTCTGACTTCTACACACTTAAAATCTAAGACTAATATAAAAGAACAATTAAGAGAAAATACAAAGTAGTATATATTTTAAAATATTAAGTTTTATAGTGTATAAATTGCAGGAAATGAAGTGCGTACAATCAGAACAAAATCAACATTATTCAGATCAATGCAAGGCCCAGCCATGATATCACAGGACCAATAATGAAACATGATAAGCACCCTGCTGACAGAGAGGCAAAACTCAAGGTGCAGAATGAGATGTACGTTTTCATAGACAGAAAACAGGGAAATCTGTTCTGCTTGACTACACATATTTGTTACAAGGGTTTTGTTTTTCTCTATCTTTTTCCCCAAATAAATGAGGACAAGAGGAGGGGTGTAAGGTGAGAAGAAGAGGGACAGCAATTGCTAATTACATTATAAGCAATTACTATGCCTATACTTCAAAGAGATCAAAGTGTGAAAGGGCCATATGTACAAAAATACTTAAAGTCAGTATTTTTTGTTATAACAAAGAACTGGAAACAAAATGAGTGTCTGTCAATTGAACAAGAGCTGAATAAATTATAGTACATGAACAGAATGAAATATTATTGCCCCACAAGAAAGATGAAAGGGACAGATGCATAGTAACTTGGGGAAACTTGTATAAACTGATGTATAAGGAAGTGAGCCAAACCAAGAGAACAATTACTATGGGGGGTTTGTGGGGTTTTTAATTTTTTTCCCACTTAATAGTATTTTATTTTTTCCAACTACATGTAAAGATAGTTTTCAACATTCACTTTTATAAGATTTTGAGCTCAATTTTTTTCTCCTTGCCTTCCTCCCCTCCCCCATCCCTAAGAGAGCAAGCAATATGATATAGGTTATACATGTACAATCATATTAAGCATATTTCCACATTAGTCATGTTGTAAAAGAAGAATCAGAACAAAAGGGAAAAATCATGAAAAAGAAAAAAGCAACAAAAAAAGGGAAAATAGAATGCTTTAATCTGCATTCAGATTTCATAGTTCTTTCTCTGTATGTGGATAGCATTTTTCATCATAAGTCTTTTGGAATTGTCTTAGATTGTTGTATTGCCGAGAACAGCCAAGTCTATCAAAGTTGATCATCACACAATGTGCACAACGTTCTCCTGGTTCTACTTACTTCACTCAGATCATGTAAGTATTTCCAAATTTTTCTGAAATCCTCCTGCTCATCATTTCTTATAGCACAATACTATCCTATTACATTCACATACCACAATTTGTGAACAATTACTATGTTGACCACCGCACTGTAAAGGACAGCTCTGAAAGACACAGAACTAGAATCAGAAGTATAAGCTATTCTTCCTCACATACACCTCTCTGCTTGTGACTTCTATGTGTGGCCACTCTCCCCACTGATCCTGGGTGCATTTGTAGGAGACTACACCCCAAGTTTATGGGTAAGATATTTTGTTGCATAATTTCTTTCTATGCCAGTTCAATAATGTCTTTGCTTTGAGATGCGTCCTCTTTATGACTGCTCCAATGTAAACATGTTACTTTGGGCTCATGAGCTGTGGCTTTAGGAATTCAAACCTAGGGTGTCTCAAACTTGAGGTGGCCATCCCCTCTGTTCAGTCGTTTCAGTCTTGTCGGACTTTTTGTGACCCCATTTGGTGTTTTCTTGGCAAAGATACTAGAGTGGGTTGCCATTTCCTTCTCCAGTTCATTTTACAGATGAGGAAACTGAAGCAAGCAGGGTTAAGTGACTTGCCCAGGGTCAAACAGCTAGTGCCTGAAGCAGAATTTGAACTCAGGTCTTCCTGACTTCAGGCTTGGTATTTGGCAACTATGTGGCACAGTGAATAGAGCACTGGGCTTGGAATCAGGAAGATTCGTCTTCATGAATTTGAATCCAGCCTCACACACTCACTAGCTGTGTGACCTGGGCAAATTTACACAACCTCTATTTGCTTCAGTTTCCTCATTTGTAAAAGGGAGATAATAACAGCGCCTAACTTCGAGTTGTTGTGAGAATCAAATGGGGATAATAACTGTAAAACACTTAACACATTGCCTTGCACGTAGTAAATATTATACATAAATGTTGGCTATTATTATTATTATCAGTGAAGGGGCTACTCACAACCAATGAGATTATTCAAAGTATCAAAGCTAGGGAAAATTTAGGCATGTTTGAAAGCTGATAACAGGAACCAGTAGAAAGTGAAAAACTGAGTAAGCCCAGGACAGGAAAAAAAGTTTAGGCAAGGCCTAAATCATTAAGAGATAAACAAGTTGGAGAAAACAAGCTTAAAGAACTGAGGCTGTGACTAGCCCAAGATATGGACCTGGCAAAGATTAAAATAATAGGTGTACGAAGGTAGGAAATCAATTCTTTAAAAACGAAAGCTGAAGTTGGACAGCAAGTATTCGTGAAATAGGTCAACCCACCGTGTGGCTAGAATCAGGACTCAAGAAACCAGGAAGAGTGAAAGTGTCCAATGCTGAAGACAAGCAAGCAGAGAAGAAATGGGGAGGAGGGAGGAGACTGGGTGGGAGGGCGATCGAAGGCCGCCTGGAAGTGGCTGGCTATTGATTCCAAGCTGCACAGGGAGTCAAGTGGATAAAGAATGCCTGATGTCCAGATCATGACATGCAATAAAATGAGCAAGCCACAAGCACATACATCACTGGAAAAGCGCTAGAAATGAACAACGAACTAGGTGCAGAAATGAAAGATGAAAGTAGGCTGGGCTGTCTTTGAGAAACTGCACTGCCCTTGCAAGAATTCAAACTGCGTCCACACTGACAGCGGGAGGACTGAAAGGCCCGGGTCTCCCACAGGAGCATGTTCCTGGGTGCTTCCGTGACTTGCGATTAACCTGGGGAAACGACCCTCGCTGCCCGGGGCAGCGCAGCCGAGGGGGTGAGGGGAAGCCGCGGGGCTGTGTGGAAAACACTCGATGGAGAGGACGGGGAAGCCCCAGGCTTCTCCACGGTCCAGCGCCGGCCCGAGCAGCAGCGCACACAGTAGGGGCTTCAAACGTGTTGGCGGAACTAAACTGAACGGGACGGGGGTGCGGACCCCAGAGCGGGGAACCTGGGGGGGAGGGGGGACTCGCTCTCTCTCACCTGCGGGTCGTAGAGGACCACAGAGCGGCAGGAGCCGAAAGCCAAGATGCCCCCGGGTCCGGGGTCCCAGCGCACGGCGCCCCGCGCTCGGTTCGCGCTGCAGAACACGTGACACGTCTCCATCACGGGCGCCGCCATCTTGCGTTGGAGGGAGCTGTAGCTCCGCCCAGAAGAGGAGCACTTCCGGCCGCAGGGGAGGAAAACGCCTCTCTTTTCACTAGCGCGGCGGCTGGCACCTGCACTGCAGCATCTGGCGCCTGCGCCTCTTCCTGCTACCGGGGCGCGGCTTTCCCGGGTTTTGGAGTTTGCCGACCAGAGTGGGGAGGAGGAAAGCGCCGGGAGGGATGGAGAGCCTGGGATCTGGGAGTGATGCTTTACTGGCGTTGTGGTCCCGGTCTACCCGCCCCACCGACTGAGCTTTCGTCTGTTATAAAACAGGACTTCGTTCTAGCGGAATTCGGGGAATTGTGTCGCGGCTGGAAGGAGCATAGGGAAACATCGGTAAGTCACTGCCCAGCTCCAGTCTCGGAACCTCATCCGCGGGAAGTACCGCAGGCGACTCCAGCTCACCGTGTCCAAAACTGAGCTCCTCATCTTTCCCTCCCAAACCGATCCCCGAACTTCTTTATTGCTCCTGAGGGTACCAGCCCATCACTATTATTCCACGTATCCAGTCAGTTGCCAGATCTTGCTTCTGCTTTCACAGTGTGTCTTGCATCTGACCCATTTTTTCCATGCACAGAAGTCACCCACCACACACGTTTGGCCCCTAACCATTTTTCCCCTAGACTATTACAATATCGTCCTAACTGGATATTGCAAGAGATGGAAAGATAGAGATAAATAGATACACAGACAGATGCATAGATTAGATAGATACATAAATTAATTAGATGGATGGGTTGATGGATTAGATAGATGCTTTTTCATTTATTCGTTTATTCTTTTAATTAACATTAAGCGCCTACTGTGTGCCAGGGACTGTGCTAAGCGCTAGAGATAAAAAGAGGCAAAAGACTGTTCTTCCCCTCAAGGATCTTACAATCTAATGGGGGAGAAAACATGCAACCAAATATATACAAACTATCTACAGAATAAATAGAAAAAAATTTAAAAAGAGAAACCACTGGAATTAAAGCCAGATCTGAGCATTTTAAATAGCCCCTTCCTTCAAGATGAATATAAAATCCTCTTTTTGGCATTCAAAGCCATTTGCGATTTGCTAGCCTTTTGCAGTCTTCTTACACCGTACTCCCTCCCTTCCCCCCACATACTTTGCCATCGAGTGACAGCGGCCTCCTTGCTGATCCTCGAATATGATGAGCCATTCCATCTCCAAACTCCAAGAGTCTTCTCTAGCTGTTCTCTCCACCCACCCCGCCATGCCTGGAACCCTCTTCCTCCTAGCTTCCCTGTTTCCTTTAGCTGAAGTCCCACTTTCTGCAGGAATGCCTTCCAAGTCCTCTTTAATCTTAATGCCTTCTTACCCCCACTTTATCCTGTATGTATCTTGTTTGTACACAGTTCTTTCCCAGTTTTCACCCCTTGAAGAAGCAGAGTTTTGTTTTTTATATCTCCAGGGATTAGCACTCTGTGCCTAGCACATAGTAGGTATTTAAAAAATGCTAGTTTAGGGGCAGCTAGGTGGCACAGTAGATAGAGCACTGGCCCTGGAGTCAGTAGGACCTGAGTTCAAATCCTGCCTCAGACACATAACACTAGCTATGTGACTCTGGGCACCACAATTGCCTCATCAAAAAAAAAATGCTACCTCAAGTCTCCCTTCTCCCATCCATTCTCTACACAGTTGCCAAAGGGCTTCTCCTACAGTGCAGGTCTGATCATAAAATCCTATGGCTCCCTAGTGTCTATAAAGGGTCATACACATGTGCGCGCGCGCACACACACACACACACACACACACACACACACACGCACACACTCCTCTAGCCCTTCACAGCCTGTCTCCCACATACCAATTTATTATATACATTACTCTTCCCCACACACTCCAGTCTAGCCAAACAACTATCCTCAGACACTACATTATGCCTTTTCACAGGCAGTCCCCCATACCTAGAATGTGTTCAGTCCTCACCTCTGCCTCTTAGAATTTCTAGTTTTCTTCAAAGCTCAACTCAAATGCCACCTCTTACAGGAGTCCTTTCCTAATCTTCCCAGCTACTAAGAGTATCCTCTACAAAATCACTTTATATTTATGTTATCAAGTGACAGAAAATTATTCATACGATGACAGAAAATTGTTAATACCAAATGTACTATTACCAGCCAAGTCCTTTAAATGATCTAGTAATGTCAGAATTTCAGTAATATCTTCGCATTCCTACTCTTAAGATATTTACTCTTAATTAGGTTGAGCTACACTATACCCTAATTCCCACTCTGTGCCCTTTCCTTCTAAACAGTCAGCTTGCTGGCATGACCTGATGTTCTTAACTCTTCACCTGGGATTCATGAAATGAAGGGCAAAACAGCCAGAATGAAGTGGTTTTCCTTGCTTATACTGCTAGCAGTGGCTGCAATCTCGTGACCAGGCCTTGTTCCCTAATGTGATCCCTTCCCCCTTTTCTCCTAAAAGTTTAAGAACCTTTTCCTGTGAGTCTGCTGGTGGGATATCCCCCTGGGTGACAGGTTTGCTATGGTATTATCTCGATTAGAGACACTATTCCTCCACTCAGGAGTTTGATTTACTTCAAGACTTGACACAAGTCAACAAGCATTTACTAAGCTGTCACTTTGTGAAGTGAACTGTGCTAAGTACAGAGAATATCCCCCAAAAAATGCAGAAAGAAAGACAACCTACAACTTGCCCTCAAGGAACTTACATTCTAATGGAGGAAGACAACATATAAAAGGAAACCAAAATGAGCTAGGTAGGGGCTGACCAAAATACCCAATGAGAAAATCCAGAGTGCAGCCTAAAAATGAATGAAAGATTCCTAATACATTTGTATGTGGACATGTCTTTTCCCTGTAGAATTGGTACGCCATAAGAGCAAAATCTTTCATTCTGTCTTTGTATTCATCCATTGCAGAGTACAATGCTTGGCATACAGTAAGTGCTTAATATATGCTTGTTAACTGATTAAATGCCGCAGTAGAAGCAGCATGGCTTTGGAGTCAGAAGACCTGGACAAGGGTCCCAAATTTTCTGCTTATTCTCTCTGTGACGTTGAGCAAGTCATTTCCTTGGTGGTTGGTCTCCCTGCTTCTCTCCACTCCAATGTGCTCTCCACTTAGCTACCTAAAGTGTAAGTCCAACCATGGCACTTCCTCTCCCGTATTCAATAAACTCCAGTGGCTTCTTTTTACAAATATAACATCCTCTATTCGGCTTTGAAAGCCCCTCACAAGATGACCCCTTCTTACCTCTCCAATCTTCTTATTCTTGACTCCCTTCAATGTACTTTATACTCTAGCAGCACTAGCCTTCTTAATGTTCTCTGCTCACAATACTCTTCTCTTGATTCTATAGCTTTTCACCAACCAGCTGTCCTGCCTGGAATATTCTCTCCCTCCTCACCAGCGCCTCCTCAATCCCTTCAAGATTTAGCCCCAAGCCCACCTCCTGTAAGAGGTGGTCCCCTCCACTACTAGTGCCCTCCTTCAGGGGCTACCTCCCATTTACACTGTCCGTATCTTACTTGTATCTAGTTGTTCACACATTGTCTTCCTCATTAGAATGTCAGTCCCTTGAGGACAGGACCATGTTTTTGCCTTTCTTTGTATCTCTAGCACTTGGCACAGTGCCTAACACATACTAAGGGCTTGATAAATGTTTGGTGACTGACTTCCTCTCTTTGAGTCTCAGTTTCCTCCTCTGTAAAATAAGAGAATTGAACTAGATCATATTTAAGGTTTCTTCCAATTGTAAATCTTATGATTATACAGATGGAGGGAAACTGAGGAAACTGAGGAGTGGACAGGCATGGTGACTTGCTCAAGGTCATACAGTAAAAACACAGTGACAGATCTGAGATGAAAACAAAGCTATTTAAGCTGTACCATACTGCCTTGCATTAACCCCGCTACCTCACTACAAACAATGCCACTCACAAGAGTGGCATTTCCTTGGTGGTGAACACAAGAGTGTTCATATAGGAGAGAAAGAGGAGATGAGACTGGAAAGGTAAATCAAACATATGTGAAGAATTCAGAGAAACTTGGGAAGAGTTGTATGAACTGATGCAGAATGAAGTGAGAATAAAAGTTATGCAGTGACAATAATGAAAAGTAAAACATCAGGACTCTCATCAGTGCAAGGATTAATTTCAGAGGACTAACAGTGCCTCCCACCCCAAGAGAGAAATGGGGAACTATTGGTATAAAATGAGGCATACATAGTTAGACATGGCCTATATGTTGATTTGTTTTGTTTAACTATACTTCCTTGTGGCCAGAGAGGGTTTTCTTATGGAGTTCTGGGAGTCATTGGGAATAATGGTCTTTTAAAAAGTAGCTTCAATAAATCATATGCATATATACTTTTTTTATATGTACATATATTAAAATAATAATAGCTAACATTTATATAACACCTACTGTGTGTCAGGCACTTTACAATGATCTCATTAGAGCTTCACAACAACCCTGAAAAATAAGTGCTATTATGATTCTCCATTTAACTGTTGAGGCAACAGAGGCAAACAAAGGTTAAGTGATTTACCCAGGGTCACCCAGCTAGAAAGTATCTGAGGCCAAATTTGAACTCAGGTCTTCCTGACTCCAGGCTTAGTCCTCTATCCACTAGACCAAGTCTTAAGGCTTGATTATGAAAAGTATTGAGTGCTAACTTCAGGAGTTTGTACTTAATCTTGTAGATAGTGAGGAACCATCAAAAATCTCAGAGCAAGAAAATAACACTAGAGTAATAATAGTTAAGGAAGATTAATATATGACAGTAGTATACAGCAGTGTTGTCAAACTCAAATAGAAATAAGAGCTACTAAGCTGTATATAAGGACTCCTGCAGGCAGCATATTGATTTAGAAAACCACTTTTTAAAATTATCTATGCTCTAGCTATAGTATTTCTATTTTGTTAAATGTTTCCCAATTACATTTTAATCTGGTTCTGAGACACTACGGAGTTATTGCCAGCTGAGCCAGCAGCCCTAGTGTTTGACACCTTTCATATAGAGGTCCACATCCTGTGGATCCTATTGGTTGAAGGAAATGAGATGATTAACCTGAAGAAGACTGAGGGATGGGTGCAGGAGGGGGTGGGGTAGGGCAATGCAGCAGGACATGATAACTGCCTTCAGGAATTTGAAAGATGAGCACACAGAAAAGAGATTAGACTCCTATATACTTTAAGAGGGCAGAACTAGGAGAGAAAGGTAAAAACAGCCGGAGGTAACTTTTGGCTTAATGTTGGGAAAAACTTCGTAAAAATTTGAGCTGTCCAAATGTGAAATGATCTGCCAAGAGAGGTGATGGTCACTCTCACTGGAGGTCTTTAAAGAAAGGCCAGTGACCACTTGTGAGGAGTATTATAGTAGGAATTCCTTTTGGGTATGAGTTAGACTACATGGCTGCTGAAGGTTCTTCCAAATCTCAAATTCTGTGACTCTGTGCATTAAAAGATGAAACAGTTTTTGGTGGTAATGAAAGCCTGCACTAGGGTGGCAGCAGTAGGAACTGCAAGGAAGGAAAAAAGCGTTTATTAAGTTCCCACTATGTGGCAGGCACTGTGCTAAACGTTTACAAATATGGTCTATGTGACCTTTATAACAACCCTAGGAGATTGATGCTATTGTCATCCTCATTTTCCAGTTAAGGAACTGAGGCAGACAGAGATTTAGTGATTTACCCAGCATCACACAGCTAGTTAAGTGTCTGAAGTCAGAGCACTACCCACTGTACCACTTAGCTGACTCAAGGAGTAGTGACTGAATACAGGAAAAGGTTTGAGGAGGTATAGGGCAGAGGTGTCAAACATAGGACTTTCCCGCTGCTTGTGGTCCAAAATACTTTACAATGCACTCAGAATCAGATTAAAATATAATTGAGAACTATTTAACAAAATTTTAAAAAACACAATAAAACAGTTAATGTCACTTTTTAAAACAGAGTCAGTGTGCCACAGGGAGCCTCATATGCGGATTAGTGGTTCCTGTTTCTATTTGAGTTTGAAACCATTGGTATAGAGGAGGCACGACAAAGCAAGAAAGGAGAGATAATTGAGATGATTTGAACCTGGGGAAATAGAAGAATGGTACTACCAAGAATATAGGTAACTTGAGGTTGGGAATGGCAAGGCCAAGAGTCAAGAAAAGTTGTTTGTAGTCCTGGGTCTTCTACTAACTAGCTATTCAATCTTGGGCCTCATTTAACTTGCACAGGCCTGTTTCCTGTATGATGGATTTCTACCAACTAAACCATCCGTAAGCATCCAAACCCAAAATGCTATGATTTGGGCAAGCATCTTCATACTGGAGACGGAAGAAGTATTAACGTGACCTGGTGTTGCCGGAAGAAAGGGAGGAGGGACAAGGACAGTTTTGGAAGAATTGCCTCCATGTAGAGGGTAACCGAGGAACCAGTGAAAGACACCGAAGCGCACGTACAGAGGCAGGAGAGAAGCAAACGGAGGGGAGTTTGCAAGAGGCAGAGATGGATTTGAAAAGCATAATTCTTATGATTTTGGGGTTTCTGGTAACCTTCCAGCAAACGGGTGGGTGTAGAAGCTCGACCGAGGGGCATTAGAGAAGGCGTGGGTGGAGGGAGTGAGGTCAGCTGGCGTAGCACACATTTTCCATTAAGGAGCTGGACCAAGAAAGCCAGAAGGGATATGAGATTAAGAAAACCAGAGAGAGCCGCAAGCCTCAATCCCCTGGGAATGAAATCACCACTTCCCGAGGTTTTTTCATTTTCCTGCCTTTCTCAACACGAGCACACACACATACCCCCTGCGGGCGGAGTGGGTGTAGCAAAGAGGAGTAGAAGCATACTGATCCCAACTAATTAAAGAGACAATTTTCTACAGCTCCGCCCCCTCCCTGAGCCGGCGAGGTCGCCAGCGCTCTGGCAGCGCATCCTTTCGGCAGCTTCTAAAACCCGGAAAAAGACGTGGACGGGACCGCGCCGGCCGCACGGCGCATGCGCAGAGCCCTGCCCGGTCTGGGCAGCTAGGGGCCGGCCTCGGGGCTGGCCGGACGCCGCAGGTGAGGAGCCGTCCTCGTGGGGCTGGATGTGCGGCCTCCGGGGCTTCCTGGCCGACGCTTGGGCGCCTTCCCTTGTTGGGCCAAAAAGCGGGCCGCCCCCCGCCCCCCGACCGGCCGGTGTGGGCATCGAGAGCGGGCGGCCTCGGCCCCCGGCGCGCAGCCCCCGAGTTGGGTGGCGAGCCTTGGGGAGGCTGCGGGCCGGCGATGGAGGGAAGAGGAGCGGGAGGGGATGTGGGTGGGGACGCGGAGGGCGGGAAGGGGGGGGCGCGGTGCGCGTGGGGACCTCGCGCCGTCGCTGCTTTGTTTCCTGGGAGCAGCCCCGCCTTCGGGACACAGTTGGAATTGGGAGGGAGTACGGGAAGCTGAGCCCCCCAGGTGTGTCCGCTCGTCGCCCGAAAGCTGGAAGGAGCCTTGGGGGGGCTCGTCTGCATCGGGGTGACTTTATGCGAGGCCCTCGAACGGGCTGTTCAATGGTTTAATAACCCTGTGTCAATCTTAATTGGTTTCCTTTGTAATCCTGTTGTTCTGTGTATTTAATAACTTGGGGTCCGTTGGTTTCAAAAAAGGTTAAGAATCCATCCTCTAAACCTAGTTTCACAGGCGAGGGAATAGACCAGAGCCCACGCAGCCAGGGCAGGGAAGGTTTACTTATACGAATTTTATACCTATATGCCACATAGACTGACACTGTTTTCTGTATTTTCTCCCTCTCGTAGAATGTAGACCAGAAGCTGCAGGGAATACTTCAGTGAGATAACAGTTCTGACACCATTTACTTGAATGTGTGTATTTTCATCTCTCATAGAATACAGAATAGAAGCTGCATCATCACGGGGCAGATTGAAGTGAGATAAACAGATCTATTGAAGTATTACTTCACTGTGTCTAGCTCCTTGCAAGTTGTAATTGTTTCATTCTTTGTACTAGTATCCTTAGGTATAGCACGGTGCCTGGCATATAGCAGGCACTTAATAAATTACTTATCGAATGATTCTTATTCCTCCCAACCCCTGGAGAATGTTAGTAGCTTGAGCTCTAGGACGGTTTTTGTTTGTACTACAACTTAGCTCAATGGCTTGCACTTTGTTGGGGGGGCATGGGTGATCTCTGAGCGTTCTGAACTTGGAATTGGAACCCCCTGGTGGGAAACCACTTCTCTTGTGGATAGGAAGCTGATCTGTAACTTAGAATTAGGACACTAAGTTAAGTGATACCCTTGGTGACAAAATTAGTGCGAATCAAAGGCAGTACTTGGACATTAGCCACTAGGGGTTAGTATTTAATTTTTATTTAAATACAGGAGAGTTATTGCTCTCCATAACTAATTGGGAGGGGTTGATTTATTGGACTGGGAGGCTTCAAGGGGATTATCTTAAAAGGTAGCCCAAAGTTTTTGAAAAGTGTGGAAGGAGAGGAGATACTTCTCCCTAATGTGAATAGAGAAGGTGTGTGGTTTTTGGAAGCATTTGGGGGAAGAGACAGTGCTCTTTTTAGTGTAGAATAGTTTTTGCTAGGATGTCATTGTAAGGTAATGGGAAAGTTGTTGAGTGAATAGACTTGAGGTCCTTTTCCTAGAACTACATAGCACTGTGTGGAGGGGGCAAGGCAGAAATTAGGCTGTTGCTGCCTTCCTGTGTCTGGAAGGGAAGAGGAAAAAATATGACAGTCCCCAGCCTACATTGTATTTGCTTAATGAAAGGTCCTAAAAGCTGAAACTGTATGGTTTTATCTAGTGCTGGTCTTTCTTTCAATTAGTTCAGCACAAATTGCTCTCCAATTTTCTTTAAACCTCTTTCATTTTCTTTTGCCCCATCTTCCTTTTCCTTTTTCTCTTTGCTTCTCTGCTTTTATCTTATTTCTCTCTTTTCTTCAAGGCTCTTTTCAGTCCTCTTCCTGTAATCCTCTTAGAGATTCTGTCAATCCACAAGCATTTATTAAGCACTTACTATGTGCCATACACTGCCGAAGAGCTGGAGATGCAAAGAAAGCCAAAGGTCCCTGTCCTCAAGGAACTCATTCTGATGGGAAGGACAACATGCAGACAATGGTGTATATAAAAGGCATATGTACATTGTACATAGGAGTCAGATTCAGAGGGCAGGCACTTCAGAGATGGTAAAAAGGGAGAGACTGGGAACAGTCTCCTACAGAAGATGGGATTTGAGCTGAGTCTTCAAGGAAATGAGGAGTTAGAGATGAAGAGGGAGAGCATTCCAGGTATGTAGGACAGCCAGTGAAAAGTCAGGGATTCAGAGGCATGAATATCCTCACTGTGCTCAGAGAGAAGTGTTTGCATTTCAGAGAGAAGTGTTTGCATTTTTTGGGGGGTCTTTATCTTTTCAGTGGTCTGCTTTCTGTGATTTAGAAAAGGGAGGACATTTCTCAAGCTGGACTGAACCACTGAAATATTTTCCTAAATGTTCTAACCTCCAGTCTTTGCATTCTAACCAGCCATACAAGCTACATCAACAGTAATGATCCTAAAATTTTTGCTTTTATAATTTCTCTTTCTTACTCAAGGACTTCAGGTTCCCCAATCAAGTGCAAAATTCTCTCAGGCCTTTTAATGCTCTTCAAGATCTGCCATCTATCCATCCAATGCTGTTTCTTTAATATTCTTTTTATTTTCTGCCCTGCAAAGCAGAATGCCTCGATTAAATTCATCCTCCTTTTCCTTGTGCAAATCTTAGTCCTCTCTTCTGTTGCTTTTTTTGCAATGCCTATCTTTATTCTGTGTATCTAAATCTTATCTATTTTTCAAGGCCTACCCAAGCCCACATCAATCTATCCTTAACTCTGAGGTTCTTAAGTGTGTGTGTGTGTCTGTGTATGAGAGAGAGAGAGGGGCCCATTTGACTGTCTGGACCCCCTCCCAGTATAATGTTCATTGTCTGCATTCATAATTAAGGGAAATGCTAAATTTGATTTAGGTTAGAAAAATAAAGGTGTCTTTTCCCCTTCCAATTTCACAGACCCCTTGAAATCTCTCCATGGACCCCAGGTTATGAAGCATAACTTCTGTTGTACTATAAGTTAATACTACTAAATCTGGTTAGCACTTAATTGTTCTTTAGTATGCTTGGTAATTTCCCAGCTAGATTGTAAACTATGTCTATATGACTTCTATACTCCTCATAGCATCAAAAAGTACTGGATACACAGAGGTTCAATAAATGCTTGGTAATTTACTGTTTGTGCCATATAATTATATTGCCGCCATATAATATTTAAAGATCATGAGAATGGTTCCTAGCTTACTGGGTGGACTAGGATTTGGCACAGGATGAGAAGGCATGGTTTCAGCCTACACCATGGAAAAAAAAGTACTTAACTTCAAGGAGATCACATATCCATTGAAGGATTACTTATCTGTGTTTATATTTTATTCCCAAATAGAATATAGTCTTCAGGAATGATTTAATTTGACTTTGTGTCCCCAACATTTAAATAGATGCTTAATAAATATATTTGTATACTTTTTCAAGCACATGATTTTTGAAACCCATTCCTACTGTCTTATCAAAGACAAGGAATAACCATATTTTTTTCTCCCTTTGTTATAGGAAACTACAATGGAGAAGACATTTTCTGCGGCTCTGCTCTTCACATTAGTCATATCAGTGTTAGGTAACCATCATGGAATGGAACCAGAAAAAAGTATTCCCAATTGGACAACTAGTATTAATGTTGATTTGGCAATTGTTACTCAGCGGCAGCACTTACAGGAACTTTTCCATCGATATGGCGAGAATAATTCCTTGACAGTTGAAGGATTTAGAAAATTGCTTCAGAATATAGGCATTGATAAAACTAAGAGAATTCATATAAATCATGACCATGATCATCACCATCATCACCATGGTACCACAAATAAAAATATTAAGAAAACCGTGTGTCCAGATCATGAATCTGGTGGTACAATTAAAGATACCAGGAATAGCCAGATTAAAGGACTACACAAATCAGAAAATATTGAGAGTCAGCCAAGCATTTTGGTCAAGGACAGTGTTAGTGAGATGACCACAGCTATTTACAGCACTGCCATAGAAGGAAATCATTTCCTAAAGACCAGGAAACAGCTTCTACCCAAAGATTTGAACAGTTTCTTGGCACCCAATACTACAGAGGGTAATGGTGTGAGCTTGCTGGCAAAAGAAAAAGCAAATGAATCTGTTGTGAATGAACCAGACCGAGGAGGAAGCTCTATATATTCTAAGCATTCCAACCAAAACGTCCAGGAGGTAAGATTAATTTTGTTTATTGTTTTTAACTAAACATGCTGAGTGGTATGCCACTGTGGACTTTGGCATTAGAAGGGAAAAGGAGGATAGGCACTGAAAATGTTACTTCTCAGTTTTGCCCTAGTTTGACCCTTCCTACAACTCTTAAGTTCATTTATAACAAAATAAGGTTGTCTTTACTTCAGTCAGAGAAAGGTTTTTAATTAATGGACTATTTGGCAAGCAGATAAACAGAGCCTTAGATATAGAAATTACTACTACATGTAATTCAGTGGGAAAGTGAAGTGTTATAATTATCTGAGTAAAAAGTAACTTTTAACTAGTATAGTCAACAAAAATTCAAATCTGTGGAATTTTAAAGAGCTAAATTATTAGCTACATTTTAATAAATGAAAGTATTATAGTTTGAATTCATATTACTATAGTAACATCTTATTAAGTACTGGTAAAGGCTGTTCTGTAGTATCCTGGCTTACAAAGGGTGAGTTTCAAAGTATCTGATATAAAAGTTGAGACAATTTGAATGATCAAGTAGTTTACCTAGAAAAGCATTGAGGCCAATAGTTTATTTTTGAGAGAACCTTCTCCTGAAAATAAACTAATATTTAAAGTAGATGCTTTTTTTTTCTATTGCATATGTTTTTAAAAAATTACTTGCCTGCTCTTCCTGAAAGATATCTGTAAGATTTTATTCTGACAGCTAACATTTTCATGGCACTTTTAAGTTTGCAAAATGCTTTACTTATATTGTTTCATTTTGTTCACACAGCAACGCTGTGAGGTAGGTCCTATTGTTATCCTCATTTTACACACGAAGAAACTGAGCCTGAAGGAGATTAACTGACTTGCCTAGGGTCACATAGCTTGTAAGTGTCTGAGGCAGAATCAATTCAGCATTCTCTCCATTAGGCCACGATGCTGCCTGCTTGACCAATATTAATTCTATTCACCAAAGAGAGACAGATGGTAAATAAGTATTTTCAGGGTCAAACTAAAGCTATTGTAGGAGAAATGTCATGATAAATGTTTATTAGGATGAATAACCAGTATGTTAAGCCCTTGTTAAAATTACCATTTATCATAAATCAACGGATTTTTTTTTTGCGAGGCAGTTGGAGTTAAGTGCCTTGCCTGGGGTCACACAGCTAGTGTCAAGTGTCTGGTCTGAGACTGGATTTGAACTCAGATCCTTCTGACTCCAAAGCCAGTGCTCTATCCACTGCATCACCTAGCTGCCCCTAATGAAACAGATTTCTTAAGGCAGCTTCTCACTATCTGTAAATAGAGAATTATTTGATAGTAGGTGACTAACAAGTTAATTCAGATTTACAAGTGAGTAGGATGTAAATCATAACTAAATTAGGTAGAATCTTAGACTTTAAAGCAGGAAGTGACTTTTAAGAACATCCAATCCATTGAACTCATTTTACAGATGAGGAAACTATTCAAATTCAAGGGGGAGAAGAGGCTTGTCTAAAACCACACATTAGTGACAACAGGGACTACCACTGTAGTTGCTTGACTCCCAGCCTATGGAAAAGTTGACTCAGCCTTGCATATGCCAGTTCATCCAGCCGCCTGTTCACTCAAGCTTTTTCTCCAGATGAATGTATGTTATATAGCAGTGGTATCAAACTCAAATAAATATGGGGGCCACTAAATGATACCTAAGGATCTCTTTGGGAAGCGTGTTCTTAGAAAATCACATGTGAACATTATCTTTGTTGTATTTTTATTTTGTTAAATATTTCCCAATTCCATTTTAATCTGGCTCTATTGTGGGCAACTTTTTTGACACATCTGCTGTAAACTAGGTTAGTACTATTTGCCTGTGAATTTCAGATGCTTCACAAGAAACAGGAAGAAGCTGATTCCATTAACTGAGTGTTACAACATCTCATTAAAGTGTCACCCATGGCCTGTTTGGCCGTAAGTACCTCCTAGTGTCTGTACTTCATTTCAGGGTGTGTGCCTAAATTCTGAAAACAAAATTAATTTAGAGTCACTTGAATTTAAACAATTTTCCATATAATCTTTTTAGCAGGAATGTAGGGTTCTCATATAACAAAAAGCTTGTGGTTTGTTTTTTTTCCAGGTTCCATACTATGGTAATGCCTTTTGTAATTTGAAATGTTTTGTCTTCATTAGTGTTTCAATGCATCAAAACTTCTCCAGTCTCATGGAATGGGCGTACAAGTATTGCTGAATGCAACAGAATTTAATTATCTTTGCCCAGCTATCATCAATCAGATTGATGGCAAATCCTGTATAGTTCACGTAACCAGTGAAAAGAAGACTGAAATCCCTCCCAAGACCTATTCTTTACAAATAGGTAAGGTGGAATTATGCTCTTCAGCAGCTTTGTTTAACTCTGGGGGTAGTATAGTAGGAAAGAGGGAAGAGATAGAAAATGTATTCTGTGAAAAATTATCAAATTAAAAAAATAGGCTGGATATTTTTATAATACAAAATTTAAAATTCAGGAGACTTTTTTTTTTTAAAGAAAATTCATTTATGAGACAGTATTGTCCAATGGAAAGAGTACTGGTTTTGGAATCACAAGACTTGGTCTTCCTAAATTTAATGCTTCCTATCACTATGATATAGTACAAGTCACCTCATTTCCTTCTGCCTCAGTTTCCTGACCTGTAAAATGAGAAAAGTGGACCAGAATTAGATGGATACAAGCAATATGATATCAGTTATACATGTGAAGTCATGTAAAACATTTCCGTATTAGCCATGTTGTTAAAACAAAACCAACAATAAATAGCAAGAAACATAGAGTTGGGGAAAAAAATATACTGCAGCCTGCACTCAGAGTCCATCAGATCTCTCTTTGGAGATGATTAGCATTTTGCGTCATGGGTCTTTTGGGATCGTCTTGAATTATTGTATTGATCAGAGTAGCTAAGTCACATTTAATCATTGTTTCAATATTGCTGTTACTGTGTATTGTGTTCTCTTAGTTCTGCTCACTTTATTTTGCATCAGTTCATATAAGTCTTCCCGAAACTATTTTTGTCCTTTGTCATTTTTTGTAGCACAATAATATTCCATCACCAGGCACCTAGGTGGCATAGTGGATAGAGTATCTTCCTGAGTTCAAATGCGGCCTCCAACACTTACTAACTGTGTGACCCCTAGGCAAGTCATTAACCCTGTTTGCCTCAGTTTCCTCATCTCTAAAATGAGCTGAAGAAGGAAATGGCAAACCACTCCAGTATCTTCTGCAAGAAAACCCAAAATGGCATCACAAAAGAGTGAGACAGGACTGAACAACAACTATCCAAAAAGTATAATGACCTGCCCTGAGGGGTGGGGTTTCCTCCACCTTCAGAGACTAGACAGTTATTGTTAGGTATGTTTATGGTGGGGATTCTTTTCTTGTATATGTTAGAATAAACAGCCTTTAAGCTCCTTCCATTCTCAAATTTTGTGTTTGTGTGATGTGTCCTTTGCTCCTTATGACCTAATTGTGAAAATTTCCCATTCTAAAAATTTTTTTTTTCAATTAACAAAAATTTACCTTCTCTTCTTTCCATTTTCCCTTCCCCTTCCTCTCCCCCAACACCATTGAAAAAGAAAAAAGAAACACATGCATAGTCAAGCAAAACAAATTTCCAAATTGGCCATGTCCAAAAATATATATCTTAGTCTGCATCCTGAGATCATCACTTCTCTGCCAGGAAGTGGGAAAGCATGTTTTATTGATGGGTCCACTACAATTATGGTTGGTCATCATGTTGTTTAGAGTTCTTAAGTCTTCCTGTTGATTGTGAAAGCAGCTATTATGTGGATATATAATTCTTAAAAGTCATATTAATAGCTACTGGCATTTACATAATATTTTAATGATTACAGAGTGTTTGCCCTGCAATGACCTTCTGAGCTCAGTTCTGCAAGTATTATCTGCATTTAACAGATGAGGAAATTATGTCGATTAAGTGATTTGCCAGGTACTTAATAAAATGATTGGTGAATTGAAATACTTAGGTTCAAAGAACTCTTGTCAAAAGAGCAAGAACATTCATCCTGGAAAGCATAATAATTTCTTTCCAGCCTGGGGCTGGTCTTAACAATGTAAACTTTCATTTAAGAACTCTCTGGTTAAGAATATGGGCCTGAAAATATTTTTCAACAGATTTGTTATTTCACCACAGCTTTAGTCATAATAATAGATAACATTTATATAAGGCTTTAAAGTTTGAAAAGCACTGCACAAATATGATCTCATTTTATCTTCATAATAACCCTGGAAGGTAGATGCTGTTATTTTCTCCATTTCACAGATGAGGAAACTGAGACGGAGGTTGTGATTAGCCCAGGTCACATAGCCAGTAATAGTCTGAGACTGGATTTGAACTTAGGTTTTCCTAACTCTAGGTCCCGTACTTTGATGCATTTTGTCTTGTAGCTGCTGTCCTTTGACCTTAGTTGTGAAAGTCAAGAAAATAAATAAGTAACTTGAACATTAACTGCATGATTACCTTTTGTGTGTGTTTTGTTTTAACAGCTTGGATTGGTGGATTCATAGCTATTTCCATCATCAGTTTCCTTTCTTTGCTTGGTGTCATCTTAGTACCCCTGATGAATCGTGTGTTTTTCAAGTTTCTTCTAAGTTTTCTTGTGGCATTAGCTGTTGGGACGTTGAGTGGTGATGCCTTTTTGCATCTTCTCCCACATGTAAGTAGTATCAGCCCATTTTAACATATTTTATTCTGTATTGACAGTGATTGTTCAGAGATTGTCTTTGAATGTTTATTTACTAAAATTGTTTGCATCTAGTCATGGACATGCTAGAAATTTGATTTTTGATGATATAATGTAATTTTGAAATACATTAGACATTACTAACTTGTATACACAAGTTTTCATGCTTTTTCCTTTTTTTTTTTCTTAAGGAAATTTACTAAGGATAAGCTAACGTTTTGGATTTTTAAAAAATATTAAAAGGAGATTGATAGAGGAATGTGGGCCACAAAATTCCAGTCAGCAACTACTAAGACAGGAGTCTGAGCTGTAATCGATTGCCCTAAGCCATCCAATTCAAGACCTTCCTGTCTGCCTAGGATCATTGTGCCCAGAGGCTGAGGGATTTTATAGACCTTAGGATAGTCTCTGGGAAGTCCCCTAGCCCTTGGCAGAGTTCTTCAGAACTGTGGAAACTCCTATGATTGGTTAAGCCTAGAAGCCTAGAAACTCTCATAATTGGCTAAGGGCGATCCATCAGATATAACTACTTTGTCAGCAGGCATTTCACGAGTTATTAGCTATGTTGGGCTTTCCTTTTGTCAGCTTATCAGGGATTTTCCATTGTTCTAACAATAGTGTTTGACCAGCTGTTTCCTAGGGACTAAAGAAGTTGTGGTTTTAAAGCACAAGGTTACAAGGAAGGGGATGGTAATGATTCATCAAGGTGAAAAGGCAAATGATTTTTATTACAAGCCCAGTACTTGGAGGGGCAGGAGGGATGGTTAGTGCAGTAATTATATTCTTACTGCATTCTTAACTAACAGTATGAATCTGATTTTTTTTTATGAATCTATCTGATTAATCAAATACAGTTAATATAATCAACAGTACATGGTGGTTTAATCAATCATAACTCTTATCCTAACAGCGTTAGCTAACCATAATTATCTTGCTCTTAATTCTGTTCTGCTTAATTCACTACTAGAATCACTGATACCCCTCAAATCACAATGAGTTGAATAAATGTTGATTAAATGAGTAGGTATATCAAAATTATCATTGCAGGAGGAATTAAGTTTAATTACTTTTGTAGCTTTAAGCTTTGATACTAGTGCAAGCATAGCCACTTGAGAGAGGCCTGCACTGGGAACATTTTTCTTCCCTTTTAGTGTTAAGTGCTATTGGTTATTAAATAAGTGACCGAAGTTGTTTGTTTTTGGAACAAATAATTATTTTCTATGATGTGACGATGTCTCAGATGTATGTAGTGTGCAGGAATTTCTTGTGTTTATCTAAAACTTAAAACACCCTGGAAGCAGGAAAAGCTTGTATTATTTCAGTTTTGGCACCTAAGGAGACTGAGGCATAAAACTGACATGACTTGCATTAGATCATATAGCTAGTTAATAGCAACAGAGGTTTTCCAATTCCTTATCTTACATCTTTTCATTAGAACTTGGCAAGGGAGATGCTATTATCCTTTCTATTTTTACTTATAAAAGAAAACCCAGAGAAATAAGTCATGCAGAACCCATGATTTATATGGGTGCTTCTTGTATTTGCAAATATTTACATTTGGGTTCAAGCCACAATCCGCCTTATTAAGACTCTCTGCTCTTGATGTGTTTTAGTATTTTGTGATCCTTCATTATTTGTAATGTGACTGTTTTGAAAAATAAAAAATGCACTAGAGTTCAGTATCCATCATAATTTTTCTTCTTGACTACCTAATTGGTGATATCTTACTAACGGGAAAAACAAGCATCAGTTATTATTTACTAATTTGCTTGTTGGTAGTGGTTCATAAGCGAAACCTTGCAGTTTACAGAATACCTTGGTTATAACAGCTTTGCATAACAGGGCAAACATTTTCATCCCCATTTTGCAAAACAGGAAACTGAGGCTCAGTGAAATTAAGTGACTTGTAAGGATTATATTGAAAAATAAGTTGGGGAAGAGGTGGCAGACTCAGATCAGCTGATTCCAAAGCCTCTGCTCTTTGTTCCCCTTCCTGTGCTTCAATAAGTGTATACAGTGGGTAAAGTAGTGTTTTGTAAGGGAAGAAAGCAACAAATGTTTCAGAGGGTTTAATACTTATGTAAATATTCTTTGAAATGTGGATTTTAAGAAAATGTATTGGGGGGCAGCTATGGATAGAGCACCGGTCCCAAAGTCAGGAGCACCTGATTCAAATTCGGCCTCAGACCAAACACTTGACGCTTACTAGGTGTGTGACCCTGGGCAAGTGCTTAACCCCAATTGCCTAAAAATTAAAAGTTTTTAAAAAATGTGTTAGACAAAATTGGCATGCAATGAACAGATCATGCGAATTTATTTAGATAAACTGACTTAAACCCCAAAGTTTTGTAGCTCTTCGCTCCCTGTCATACTCCTCATTTCCAGGAAAGCTCCTGGAGCAGTCTTCTTTCCTTCCCACTTATCCAGTGCTTGGTAAAAGATTTTGGTTTTCTTTTCAGCTTTTAGATTATTTAGTTTTTAAAACTTTTTGCATAAATGGTTGTTAGCTTTATGTGTACATTTAGTGAGGTTACAGTCAGTGAAAAAGGTGAGTTCTTTAGCAAATTTTAATAAAGTAAATTGACTTTTTACACTTTCTTTTTTACTTACTAAGTCATTCTCAGAGGAACGTATCACTATTTCAAAATGTCATAAGTCTCACACTGGCTGTAAAGTCTTTAATGTCTGACAAATAATGGGAAGTTGCCACTGCATTCTCAGGGTGCCCCAAGTCCTAGTCCTTTGCGAACAGCAAGCATAGAACTCTCTTTTGAAAAGTTGTGGTGATTCTACTGCTTGTCAATGAGAACATCTTTTGTATCTAAAAGAATGATTCTTAATGTGTATGCTTTAGACCCCAGAAATTGCCTTTGTCTTTTTTTAAGTTTTTTTGCTCTGAAATTCACAAGTGTCAAATGAAGTGAGCTTTTCTGTATACAAAGTAGAACAGAAGAAGAGGATTAAATATGAAGCTATTACACTTAGCTTACTTTTCCTTTTAAGTATGTAGTAAAGTCAACTTGTAATTTTCACAGCTATTCTGCTTCTCTCATTTATTTCTGTTTTCTTCTCTGCATTTTAAAAATTCTTCAGTGGTCCTCTTATTTTCTTTTTTGGTGATCCTATTGCTATTTTCTCCCTCACCTTGAGAACAAAACCTTATAATACTCATAGTGAAGCAAAACAAGTTCCCACATTGACTATGTTCAGAAATTTATTTTGAGCTTGCCAGTATCACTAAGTTCTCAACAGAACAGAAAATCTATCACTGGTGTCAAACTGAAAAAACATCCTTGTGGGGTACATATTGACTTAGAAAATCACAAATTAACTTTATGTTGTATTGTATTTTTATGTATTTTGTCAAACATTTACCAATTATATTTTAATCTGATTCTGGCCAAGTCAGCAAGTCTGACACCTCTTCTCACATGCTTATGTTTGTTTCAAAAACTGTTTTCTTATGTGCGTAACCACTGTACACAGTTGCAATACACCTACATAGATCAGCCTCTATATTCAGGGTTCATACTGCTCAGTGCCTCACAACTTCATAAAGCTTAAAATTCCTGACCTGCTGGCAAGCCAGGAATAGAGCCCTGAACCCTAGAATTGGGTAAATGTGCTTTTGTAAACCCCGTAACATTAGCTAGTTTTTGATAAATACTGAATGTCTAATATGGATGATAACATTGGGATTAATTAGCATATGAATTGTAAACAAACTCCAGACTTTCTGCCAGATAAGTTTCAGTCTTTGAAAAGTGTATTCTTTGGGCATATATTTGCAGAGGTACATGTTGTAATACCTCACTTATCTTGTTAAAGAAAAAACTTTTAACATGTCAGAATTTTCTAGATAATTGAAGTACATAATCCTTTAAATGTAGGAATAACATTTTAAAATGAATTAAATTTTTGAAGATGCATGAGAAACAGCTTCCTGGATAGAATTTGACTTTTTTATAAAAACAGGGTCATTGTTGCGAGCATTATAGTAATGCTCTGTGTGAATTTATTTTGCTTGATTATGCTTCTTCATTATAAGGGTTTTATTTTTGTTTTATTTTTTCTGTTTTCAGTTGGAAGGGGGTGGGAGGAAGGTGGGAACAGCAATAGTAATGCCAATAAATGAAAAGAAAAAAGAAGAGGGCTACAGAAACATTTTTAAAAGTGCACAGAGAAGAACAGAAGGAAGCACAGATCAGCTGTGAAAGTCATGGGCTTAAGATCTGATGTTTTTTAAAAAAAGTGTTATGGAATGAGTATTAATAGCTTCATATACATATGTGTGTGTGTGTGTGTGTGTGTGTATAAATAAAATCCTTTTTGTGTTCTACTTCACATATAGAAATACTTATTGTGTTGGGGGGGTGGAATTCAAAAAACTCCAGATTATTTGTCCAGTCAAAACCCAAAGCATTATCTTCAGAAATGCTGTTTTACTGTTCTCAGTGTCCTTTAATTTAGCATTAACATTGAGAAACATTCTGTCATATTTTGGAATCACAGATACAGTGAACCAATAAAACGTAAGCTCCCTTCACTCAAGGAGGTTAAAAAGATGAAAAGAAAAGCTCCAAAAATACCAAACTGTTTATTGGCAATATTTTTTGTAGTAGCAAAGAATTGTAAGCAAAATGAGTGCCTAGTGAATGAAGAATAGCTAAATAAATTGTGAATGTGATGGAATATTGCTTCACTGTCAAAAACAATAACTCCCAATGATAAATATGGAGAAACATGTGAAGACATTTATAAACTGATACAAAGTGAAATAAGCAGACCCAGGGAAACCATCTGCAGTGACTAACACAGTGTAAATTGAAAGAGCATTAACAGTAAAACAATCAAAACTGAATGCTGATAAATTATAATGACCAAATTATAATGACTCCACAGAATAAGGATGAGAATATATACCTTTTGGAGAAGTGAGGGCATTGTAGGTGTGGAATCCTGCATAGAATGTTAGACTTGGTTGATATCTTGGGAGATGTAGCTGAGCTGTTTTTCCCTTATTTTTCATTCTGTGTTATGATGGAAAGCCCTTAGAGAGTGGAAGGGAAGAGGGATATATTGAGAGATGTTGGTGACATAAAAACAAGGTACTAAGATACTTTAAAAGGGGGGGGGGAAAGCTCCTTGGGCATGTACTGGTTTTGTTTTCTTTCTGTATCTACAGCACCTAGCACAGTGCTTGGCATATACTAGGCACTTAGTAAGTGCTTGTTGACTGAATGACCGCAGGCATGTCAATTTCAGTTCTCTTTCTACTGTTATATATATACTTTTATGGAGTGTAAAGAAGTGATAGGTTTTTTAGAGCTATAAAAGACCTTTATCTGATCCAGGAAGATTCCTAAAAAAATTTGGGGGCCTATTTAAGAATCTTTCATCATTAGAAGATATGCTTCTATAGAAATGATGTCAGGACATACAGCTTAATATTTCAGGTGCAAACAACATTAACAATTGAATCTAAAATATTTTAGTAACATAAGGTCTTACAGGATTGGTGCCTTCCTTATGGCTTAATTTTCTCATCAGATCCCTCATCTGGTAGGGGTATGGACTGGAACTTTGATTATATTGGTATAAGGAACTTTGGGGTGAAGAAACTCCCTCTACTCATGCAGATTATCGTCTCTGTAACTTGTAACATTTCAGATTCCTGAATAATTTCCCAGTCTATATGTTATCACTGAGGCAGTATTGCAAGCAGAAAGATAGTAAAAATGACCAGATACTAACCCTGCCTTACATAAAGTAAATTCCAAAATTGAATAATATGCTGTCCTCAGGTTAGTCTATGGTTCTGAAATGTCTTTTTTTTTCCTTTTCCCTCTTTTTTTTTTAAATTGATGAGGCATTTGGGGTTAGGTGACTTGCCCAGGGTCACACAGCTAGTAAATGTTATGTGTCTGAGACCAGATTTGAACTCAGGTCCTCCTGAATTCAGGGCCAGTGCACCACCTAGTTGCCCTTCTGAAATGTCTTTTCAAAATATAGGAGATGATAGAACTTCTAAAAGTCTTCATGCATCCATGCATTAATTTGGACCCTGTACCAGGTAAATGTGAGACTTCTGAAAGATACCACATGAAGACACTTTCTAATTCAAATGTTTAAGTGCCTGTAATATACAAGTTACTGTATGCTAATTGCTGAGGTTACAAAGTTAATACAAAGATCCCTGCTTTCAAGAAGCTTATAATCTAAAGGGGGAAAATGTATACTTAAAAGTAAGTACCCTGCAAAGAAGAGCTTGTTGTTTTCGTTTATGACAACCTGCTTCAGAACCTGCCTCCAAATCCCAAATCAGCTAGTCTTCATTCACTTACACATATTTCCTGCTGACCTAGAAGATAGCAAGTATTATCAACAGAAACCAATTTCATTGAGGTTCTTTTATTTATTGTCATTTGCTCAGGGTCTAAAATTTAAAAAAAAATTTCAGTTAAGTACTAGTCAAAATGATTAAAGTCATTGGAGAGAGCTATATCTGGATGAGTGTGTTTTTGTTGACATACATAGAAGTGCTAGCTCTCTTTCCCCCCACATGTATGTGTGTATATATACATATATATGTATATGTATCAGACTAATTGCACCAAAGTATAAACACACACAGCCTTTGGTGCAATTGGTTTGATACTCTTAGGTTCTACTGTACTTAATTATCATATTAGTACTCTCAATATGAAAAGATTCTTAATGTTGTTTCTTATTTCATTGGCAAGTCATTTGTATGTTACTAAATTGAATCTAACAGTTTTGAAAAATATTGTTTGTTCATAGTCTCATGCAAGTCACCACCACAGTCATAGTCATGAGGACCAGCCCCTTCAAGCAAGCAGAGGACCACTGTTCAGTCATCTGTCTTCTCAAAATATAGAAGAAAGTACTTATTTTGACTCTACTTGGAAAGGCCTTACAGCTCTAGGAGGCCTGTATTTCATGTTTCTTGCTGAACATTTAATCACGTTGATCAAACAATTTAAGGACAAGAAGAAAAAGGTAAAATATTAATATGTGATACTTAATATATTTCATGCTGATAGATGGTATATCTGAGATCTCAGATTTGGGAAATTAGTAGTCTCTAGTTCTGCGACTTAAGGGAGTACTTGTAGGTCTTAGTACTTCTAGATTTTTCTTCCCTAAAGCTTCCAATGCTACATGAGATGGAAAAGGAAAAAGGTAAATGACTAGGCTTATGGCATTAACAGGACTTCTAGACCCAGAAATGCAGTAGGTCCCCAATAAATATTATTTGATGACAGTGGTGAATATTGCTTTGAAAATGTTGCCTTATAGTTGATCTTCTTTTTTGGCAAAAATTTGTGTGGCACTCGTTCCATCTTCTGCCAGAGATGGTACGTAGTTACCCAGGTAGTTCTCGTGTTCTGTTGACAGTACCTTTTCAGTTACATTATTTATGTCATCCATACTCAAAGACCTTTCCTCTCAGTCCTAGTGGTTCAGACAGGAGATGCTTTTTCTGCAGCTACTTCTAATCTTTTGAGGCTGGAAATAGGTAGATAGGGCTGGGAGAACACCCTCTTTTTGATTTAATTCAACAAATATGTATTAAATGCCTTATTGTAAACATGGCCCTATGTTAGTGATATGTGCGAGATAACCAGTGAAGAATAGCTTGTGGAGATAATTTACTTCAAAGTAGCTCATTATTGGGCAGCTAGGTGGCACGGTGGATAGAGAGTACCTGACCTGAAGTCAGAAAGAATTATCTTCCTGAGTTCAGATCTGGCCTCAGAAACGCTCTGGCTATGTGACCCTGTTTGTCTTAGAGTCTTTATTGGTAAAATGAGCTGGAGAAGGAAATGGCAAATCATTCCAGTGTCTTTGCCAAGAAAACTCCAAATGGGATTACGAAGAATCGGACATGACTGAAACAACTCAACAACAAAGCACTATTATAAAGGCATTTTCTAGCTTTTAATGGCTGATGAATATAACTGTCAGTATTGGTAGTAAAGGGTTTTTTCTGTCCTCATCACAAGAGATGACAAAGGAACAAATTTCAGTCTAATAAATTGTACTTCTCTGAGAGAAGCATAGCTTGCATTAATCCTTAATGATTCTACTGTTACAACTGTATAAGAATGGGGTACCCTTTGTGTGATTATTTCAAATGCTAAGCAAATTAATATAACCAAAAGTCATAAATTGAGGAGGAAATACTGAGGTGTTGTAATTATGGCTTTGCATTCATGTATTTATGATTTGTTATGAAATATATACATTTACTGAACCCACCTATTATATATGTAACAATTTTACATATATACATATATATATATATAACTATTATATACTTGATAAACATATATGTATAGGTATGTATATGTAAAATGCCCTTTCCCCCCCCAAAAGGTGTGCTTGCCTGCACTCAAAAGTTTACAATTTGATAGTAATATATTAATATGGCTTTTATTTTACATTATATATATTTGCTTAAATGTTTGACTTTTAGATGTTTGCAAATTCTGTTAAAGTATTATTTTCCCTTGATTCGTTAGACTCAAAAAAAGCCTGAAAGTGATGATGAGATGGAGATTAAGAAACAGTTGTCCAAGTATGAATCTCAGCTTTCAACAAATGAAGAGAAGTTAGACACAGATGATCGTAAGTCCTGGTAATCAAATCTGAGGAAGAATCCTGCTGTATACCTTTTTCTCGATCAGAAGAGCGTTAGCTCTTATCTATTCCCTTATCTTATTTTCTTATCTATTTTTTATCTACCTCATCTACTTCCTAAAGAACAGCTGATAAATTGTTGTATACCCTCTAAAAGTGATAGAAAGTGAGAAAGTCTTCATTTTCAGGGGAAATTTGCCAGAACATTCAAGGCTGGCCATCCCTGGTCCTGTGGGACCTTGCTATGCCCTTTTTACACTAACCCATTTGTTCCACTAGAGAAATCAGGTGATCTTGGCTAGGAGGTCATTTATTTTAAGACCAGTCAAATTTTGCAATTTTATTTCCATAGCTCAACTGCATAGGATTTGCCTCTAGTGTATTCCCTTAAAAATGCCATTATAACCAGGAATTTGAACACCATTGAAACACTGAAATAAGGAACACTAATGTAATGAACCCAAATAAGAACTTTTTAAACCAAATCAAAGCTTCACCCAGAAATTCTTCAGTTGAGGAAATTTTCTTTCCCATTATAGTTTTGCAAATGAGGAATTTGAGGTTCAGAGAGATTAAACCAGCAACTTAATAAATAAGCCCTGTCACAGGCTGTTGTGAGGATCCAAGGACATTATATATGGAAGGCTTTGCTAGCCTTCAAGTCCTGCTGCTACTATTCTTAAAGCCACAACCAAACAAAAACACAGCTCTAAGTAATGTGGCTAGGATTAAAACCCAAGTCTTTGAATTCCAAATTCATTATCTTTTCTTGCATATCCTGCTGCCTTTTGTTACTTCATCATTATGGTATACTCTTTTGGAGAGAATTCATGGTAGTTGTTTATTTAGTCTTTTTTCCTTCTCTTCTCTGCCTTCTGCTTTACTTTATTGAGGAATATATAGACATTACCTGGTCTTTTGTTTTTAACATCCAGTATCCTTAGACTTCTAATATTTTATCGAACTAGATGATTATAAACAGTTGTCTTTTGACTTTTAGTTCCTGGTGGAAAAAAGCATCCTTCATTATGAGTTTGGTATTTATTAATGGGCAATAATTACCATATTTACTCAATACTTAGAAAGGGGCTTAACAAACTGCTCTACTCATAGGATTTGTCTAATAAATGTTAAACATCTAATTCCTACTTTTTTCTCACACACACACACACACACACACACACATATACACGCACTCTCTCTCTCTCTCTCTCACTCTCACTGTCTCTCACTTACTCACTTTTAACTGGCAGAGTTTTGGAAGGATCTTATTTGATCCTTGAAAAAGCTGTCCATACTCAATGTCTCCACTTCACCTCCTCTCATTCCTGAGCTGTGGCTGCTTCCCGGCTGCCTGTAAATATTCCCACATCTCTATCCTTTAAAAACCCTCACTTGATCCATCCATTCCCACTAGCTATTGTGATATCTCTCTTCCCTTTTGAGGCTAAACTTGAGAAAGTTGGCTCTTCTCAGTGCTTCTACATCTTTTTCTCTAATTCTCTTAGCTCTCTGTGATGTAGTTTCTGACCGCATCACTCAAATGAAACTGCTCTCTCCAAAGTTACCAGTGATTACTTAATTTCCAGATATAATAGTCTTTTCTTTTTTTTTTTTTTTTGGCTAGGCAGTAGGATTAAGTGACTTGCCCAGAGTCACACAGCTAGTAAGTGTTATGTGTCTGAGACCAGATTTGAACTCAGGTCCTCCTGAATCTAGGGCTGGTGCTCTGTCCACTGTGCCACCTAACTGCCTCTCTAATGGTCTTTTTTGAGTCCCCTTTCTCCCTTTGACACTGTTGACCACTCTCCCATTTGGATTTTCGTGATACTTCTCCCTTCTGGTTTTCCCCCTACCTGTTTGACTGCTTCTCCATCTCCTTTTCTTACTCATTATCCATATGATACTTCCTAATGGTGAGTGTTCTCCATGTTTCTATCATAGGCCCTCTTCTCTCTGTCTGTACTCCTTGGTGACCTCATTTGCTCCCATGGGTATAGCTCTCTTCTACATGCATATAACTCCTATATCTCCAGCTCCAGTCTCTCCCCTGAGGTTTAGTCCTGCATTACCAACTGTCTTTCAAACTAGAAGTCCTGGAAACGTCTTAAAATCAACATGTCCAAAATAGAATTCATTTTTCTACCCTCCCCCAGCACTCTCTGCTCTTAACTTCACTACTTCAGTTGAAGGTACCATCATTCTCTTCAGTGTTACAGGATCCTAATCTCAGTGGTGGACTCCTAATTCATTCACTCTATATCCGGTCAACTACATGTCTTGTTATTTCTGCCTCCACAATGTAGCTTATCATCTGAACTGTTCTCTCTATTCACATAGCTACCATGCTAATTCAGGCCATCATTACCTTTCACCAAGGTTATTAAAACAGCTTCCTAATCAGTCTCACTGCATCAAGTCTGTCGCCTCCCTAGTCCATCTTGTACTCTTCTGTCAGAGTAATTTTCCAAAAGAACAGGTCTGACCATGTAGCTCCCCTACTCATCCAACTTCAGTGCCTTCCTATTTATTGCCTTTAGGATAAAATATAAACTTCTGTTTAGCTTTTAAGGCCCTTCACAACCTAGTCCTGACCTATCTTTCTAGTCTTTTCTCACACTCTGTAATCTGGTCAATCCATAAGCATTTATTTAAGCACTTTCTAAGTGCCAGACGCTGTGCTAAGCCCTCAGGATACAAAAAAATGTTAAAGATAGTCTCTGTCTGATAGAGCTCACAGTCTAATGGGAAGACAACATGTAAATGACTGTATGAATGTCAATATAAATGGGGGGTAATCTCAGAGGGAATGTACTAATTTGAATTAAGGGAGATTGGAAAAGTCTTCTTGCAGAAGGTTGGATTTTAGTTGAAAGAAACTGGAAAATCAGGATTCAGAAGTGAAGAGAGAGAGCATCCTAGGCATAGGGAATAGCCGATGAAAAGGCTTGGAGTTGAAAGATGGGTTGTCTTGTTTAAAGACCAGCAAGGAGCCAGCATTACTGGATTGAAATGTACATGGGAAGAGAATAAAGCAAAAGAAGGTTGGAAAGGAAGTGAAGGGCTTTGAATGCTAGAGTATTTTATATTTTTTCCTAGAAGTGGTAAAAAGCCACTGGAACTTATTGAATTGTGGGCACTGACATGGAGAGACCTGCATTTGCATTTCAGGAAGACTTAATTTGATAGCTCAGTAGAGTATGGACTAAAGTAGGGAAAGAATTGAGTTAAAAAGACTAACATGAACCAGCAAACTATAGCATTAGTCTAGTGTTGACATGATGAAGACCTGTATTAGGGTAGTTGCAGTATTAGAGAAGAGATGGGAATGTACATGAGAGATTACAAAGGTAGAATTGGCAGGTTTTTGCAATATATTTATTATAGTGGACTGAGGGAGAGTGAGAAGTCAAGGATGACACTTAGGTTGTAAGCCTGGGTGCCTGGGAGGATAGTGGCATCCCAACATTAATAAGGAAGTTTGGAAGAGGAAGGCATTTAGGGGAAAGATAATGAGTTCAGTTTTGCCCATGTTGAGTTTAAGGTATCTGTGGGACATCCAGTTTGAGGTGTCTAGTAGGTGACTGGAAATTCAGTGATTGGAGATAAGAGAAAAGTTAGGGCTAGATAAGTAGATCTGAAAATGAACATAGAGATGGTAATTGAATTCATGGGAACTGATGAGATTAAGGAAAGTAGAGGGCCTATGAAAGAGCCTGCTGTTAGCAGGCATGGCCTGGACCATGATTCTGCAGAGAAAATGGAGAAGGAGCAGTCTTATTGAAGGAGAACTAGGATGGCCATAATGTCACAGAAACCTAGAGCAAAGAGGGTGATCAAAATTTTCAAAGGCTATAAAAAGAGGTCGTAAAGAATGAGGATTTTGGGGGCAGCTAGGTGGCGCAGTGGATAGAGCACTGGCCCTGGAGTCAGGAGGACTTGAGTTCAAATCCAGCCTCAGACCAAACGCTTGACACTTACTGGCTGTGTGACTCTGGGCAAGTCACTTAAACCCAATTGCCTTAAAAATAAAAAATTATGATTTTAAAAAAGGCCATTAGATTTGGCAATTAAGAGATCTTTAATAACTTTGTAAAGAACAATGACGAGATTGCAAGGTAGAATGTAGAGTTAAGAAGAGAGTGAAAAAAAAGGTGAAAGCTTTGATGATAGTCTTTTCAAGGAGTTTAGCCACAAAAGGGAGAAGGGATAAAAGACAGTAACTAGTGGGGGATGAGTGGGTCAAGTTTTTTGAGGTTAAAGAAGACTTGAACATGTTTGTAGGCAGTGAGAAGCAGCCAAGAGACAGGAAGAGATGAAGATAAGTGAGAGAGCAGGGATGATAGAAGGGGCAGTCTGCTGGAGAAGATGGATGGAATGGATCATTTGTGCACGTAGAGGGCTTTGCCTTGGTAAGAAGGCCTTGTTCTTCATATGAAATACAGGTGAAGGCAGGATGGTGGCAGAAGACATCTGGAAGATATGAATTGAGGAGGAGGGGAAAAGAGAGTGATCTCAGTGAATGACCACAGTTTTTTCAGTAAAATGTGATACAGGGTTTTCAGCTGAGAGGTTGCAAGGAAGGAGAGCTCTGGGAAGTTTGAGGAGGGATGAAAGAAAAGGTTTGGCCAAGCCACTGTGGTGAGTAGAGTAATGAGTTAGAGAGACTTAAAAAGATTGCTGCAGTGAGGCCCCAGTTGAGATTATGTAGCATCATCTCTCTGTTCCTCACATGAAATTCTGTCTCTCTTCTCGTGCCTGGAATACACTCCTCTCTGCTTGCCTCTGCCTCCTAGAGTCTTTCTTTTTCTTTAAGATTCATGCAGGTCAGGTATCATAGTCTGCCTGAACTGAAGCCTTTCTTGACCCTGCCTCCATGTATTGAACTGTTTTTTATATGTCTGTACTAACTAATTTTATGCTATATATATTTTTATAGTCCTTATTGTCATTACCTTTAGAAGGTAAATTTGTAAGGACTATTTCGTTTTTTGTACTTGTATCCCTAGGATCTACCACAGTGCCTAGCACATAGACATTTAATAAATACTTGTTGGTTGGTTGATTGATCCTCACAAGATGGCCCATAGTCATAAAACAGGAAACCTTAATTTGAATCTCTCATATCCTACTAATGTTATTTTCTTGTTTACTTTACATTTTAAATTTGTATTTAGACACCACGTGTTTTTCCCCAGATCAATTACCATGTTCTTTCCGAATGGACATTTTAAAATTTAAATTCCTTGCTGTTGTTACCTAGGGCCTGAAGGTTATATAGGGGCAGACTCACAAGACCCTGCACACTTCGCTTCTCAACAACCAGCAGTATTGGAAGAAGAAGAAGTCATGATAGCTCACTCTCATCCGCAAGAAGTTTACAATGAATATGTATCTAGAGGGTGCAAGAATAAATGTCATTCCCATTTCCATGATACTCTAGGCCAATCAGATGATCTCATTCATCATCATCATGATTACCATCATATTCTACATCACCACCATCATCAGAATCATCATCCCCACAGTCACAGTCAGCGCTACTCTCGGGAAGAGTTGAAAGATGCTGGCATAGCCACATTAGCCTGGATGGTGATCATGGGTGATGGCTTACACAATTTCAGTGACGGCCTAGCAATTGGTAAGTACATCTATATACATTTCTTTGGACTGCTAATATAAAATACTTCTTTTGTCTCTATGCCATTTATTAGTCATGTTTTCTAAGCAGCTAAGATTTTTAAATTAGTAAATATCTATTTTTAGTACATTTGTGGATAGTTTATAGTATGTACCAGAAGAGAGATCACAGCGGTGTGATTGACAGTGTTTCAAATGATGGCAGTTTTATAGCATTTGAGCAGGACCTGAATGCTTTAGGAATTCTTATATGTACCAAGTAGCAAATAAGAGAAATTGGTCAAGAAACAAATTATAAGTCTATAAATGCATTGCAATTTCTTAAAGGTTGCAGGAATTTGGGGAGACTTAAACACATTTAAAAAAATTTTTTTTTTCAATTAGCAGTTATCTGATTTCTTTCTTTCCTTCCTGTCCCATCCCTACCCCAATTGAAAACAAAAGAGAAATAAAACCCCTGTTAAAAACATGTATAGTTGAGCAAAACAAATTTCTGCATTAGCCATGTCCCCCCAAAATAGTTTCATTCTGCACTCTGGGTCCTTTACCTGTCTAACAGGAAGTGAATAGTAAGTTTAATCATTAGTCCTCTGGAATTGTGGTTGGTTATTACAATGATCAGAATTAGTAATTCTTTCAAAGTTGTTTGCCCATACCATATTGTTGTCGTTATATAAAAAGTTGTTGTTTAGTTGTGTCCAATTCTCCATGACCCCATGGACCATAGATAGCACACCAGGCTCTTCTGTCCTCTGCTGTCTCTTGAAATCTGTTCACATTCTTGTTCATTGTGTCCATGACATTATCTGTCCATCTCATTATCTGCCATTCCATTCTCCTTTTGCCTTCAGTCTTTCGCAACATCAGGGTCTTTTCCAGTAAATCCTGTCTGCTCATTATGTGGCCAAAGCAGTTAAGCTTCAGCTTCAATGTTTGACCTTCCAGTGAATAGTCTGAATTATTAAGTGTTGACTGATTTGATCTTGCAGTTCAAGAGAATCTCAAAAATCTTCTCTAGCACCACAGTTTGAAAACATCAATAATGTGGCACTGAGTTTTCCTTATAGTCCAACTCTCACAGCCATACGTTGCTACTGAAAAATCATAGCTTTGACTATATGAACCTTTGTCGGCAAGGTGATGTCTTTGCTTTTTAGCATGCTGTCCAGATAGTCATAGCTTTCCTTCCAAGTGTAATGCAGAACATTATTTTACCATTTAGGTAGTAGGGCCCTTTAAGCCATGGAAAGCAGAAATTACTGCTTAATCTTGCCCCAGGCCTCTTTCCTCCTAAATCTAAACAATAGTGAAATGTACTCTTGCATAGCTCAGCACAGCCCATACCTCCAATGAAAATGGATAAGAAAGCTTGCAATATAATTGCTTTATGTAATTATGTTTATACCAGAGACCAGGATACCTGGTCTGGTTTGTGTGATCTCTGATGCATAATAATGGGGTGCTTGGGTGCTTGTGCTTGTACTTATGCCCCAGTTTCTCCCTAGTCTCAGAAACACTGTCTCTGACAACCACTCCCCAGCCCAAGGACACTGTGCCTAGCAGTTATTCATGCATGGGCCTCAGCATGACCCTTATCTCTCTCCCGGGTACAGCTACACAGAGCTGGGCTGCTCAAGCCCCAGCCCTCAGATCATGTCTCTGGAAGCCTCCCAATTCCTTAGTAAGTTCCTGTGTTGTGAGAAAGCTTTCCCCTTGTTGCAGAGCATTCTCTCATCAAGACAGAGGGAGAGGGGTGTCCTTGGCCAGCCCAAGGACTCTTCCTCCTGCCAGACTCCAAAGATCCATCCCCCTCCCTGTCCGGTATACTCCCTGTACTTTCCCACCCATAGCCCCCAAAGACACCTGAACCTTTGGATTACCTCATCAGTGTTCCTGGCATTTCTTTCCCGTGCTCTTTTCCATATAAACCCTAGCTCGACCCCTGATTGGGGCTCCTTGATTTGGGTGTGCATACCCCTTGCAGCCACCCGCTAATAAATCCACATTTTAAATTCCGCCTGGGTCTCGCTCGCTGATTTCTTGGTACAACACAAGGAGCATGCATCTTTTAAATTCATGGCTGCAGTTGCTGTCTGCAGTGATTTTTGAGCCCAAGAATATAAAATCTGACACTGCTTCCATTTTTTTCTCTCCCTATTTGCCTGGAAGTGATGGGACTAGTTGCCAAGATCTTTTTTTATGTTAAGCTTTAAGTCAACTTTTACAGTCTTCCCTTCCATGCTCAAGAGACTTGTTAATTCTTCTTCACTTTCTGCTATCAGAGCAGAATCATCTGCATTTCTGAGATTGTTGATATTTCCCCTAGCAACCTTAAGTCTGGCTTTTGATTCATCTCAGCCTGGAATTACTTATGATGTATTTTGCAATATAAGTTAAATAAGATGAAAATATACAGCTTTGTCATACTCCTTTTTCCCGTCTTAAACCAGTCAGTTGTTCTGTGTTCAGTTTTAACTATTGCTGCTTAACCCATATACAGGTTCCTCAGGAGACAAGTAAGATGATCTGCTACTCCCATCTGTTTGAGGACTTGCCACATTTTGTTATGATCCACATAGTCAAAGGCTTTAGTGTAATCAATGAAGCAGAAGTAGATATTTTTCTGGAACTCTCTTGCTTTTTCCATAATCCAGCAAATGTTGGCAGTTGGCTTCTAGTTCTTCTTTTTTCGAAAACCATTCTGCTCTTCCAGTAATTCTCTGTTCACATACTGCTGACACCTAATTTGCAGAATCTTAAGCATAACCTTGTTGACCTGTGAAATGAGCACAATTGTTGAATAATTTGAACATTCTTTGGCATTGCCCTTCTTTAGGATTGGGACGTAAACTGACCGTTTCCAATCCAGTAGTCCTGTTGAGTTTTCCAAATTTACTGGCATCTTGAATGCAGCACTTTAACAGCATCATCTTTTAGGATTTTAAATAGCTCCCCTGGAATTCCATCACTTCCACTAGCTTTATTGTTAGCAGTGCTTCCTAAGGCCCACTTGACTTCATTATCGAGGATGTCTGGCTCTAGATCAATAACTAACCATTATGGTTATCACTGATGTTAAGATCTTTCTTATATAATTCTTTTGTGTATTCTTGCCACCTCTTCTTAATCTCTTCTGTTTCTGTTAAGTCCCTTCCATTTTTGTCTTTTATCATGCCCATTTTTGCATGGACCATTCCCTGGATATCTCTAATTTGTCTTTTCATTTTGGGGTGGGGTTAGGTAATGGGGTTAAGTGACTTGTCCAGGGTCACAGAGCTAGTAAGTGTTATGTGTCTGAGGCCAGATTTGGACTCAGGTCCTCCTGAATCCAGGGCCAGTGCTCTTTCCACTGTACCACCTAGCCTGCCCCCTGAATATCTCTAATTTGAAGAGATCCTTTGTCTTTCCCATTCTATTGTTTTCTATTTCTTTGCATTGCTCATTTAAGAAAACCTTATTTCTCTTTGCTGTTCCCTGGAATTCTGCATTCAATTGGGTGTATCTTTCCTTTTCTCTTTTACCTTTTGCTTTCCTTCTTTCCTCACCTTTTTTTAAAAGCCTTTTTTTTTGCATTTTCATTTTAAACTTTTATTTAGTACTTTATTTTTCCCCAGTTACATGTAAAAACAATTTTTAACATTTGTTTTTAAAACTTGAGTTCCAAATTCTCTCCCTTCTTCTCTCTCCAAACCCCTCAGTGAGAAGGCAAGCAATTCTATATAGGTTATACATGTGTAGTTATGCAAAACATATTCATAATAGTCATGTTGTGAAAGAAAATATGGACAAGGAAAAAACTCAAGAAAAATAAAGAAGGTTTAAAAAAAGTATGCTTCAATTTGATTTCAGACAACCATCAGTTTTTTCTTCGAGGATGGGTAGTATTTTTCATCATAAATCCTTTGGAGTTGTCTTAGATTGTATTGTTTCCTCAGCAATTTCTAAAGCCTCATCAAACAGCCATTTTGTTGTTGTCGTTGTTTGTTTGTTTGTTTGTTCTTTGGTGAGGCAATTGGGGTTAAGTGACTTGCCCAGAGTCACACAGCTAGTGAGTGTTATGTGTCTGAGGCAAGATTTGAACCTGGGTCCTCCTGACTCCAGGGACTGTGCTCTATCCATTGCGCCTCCTAGCTATCCCCAAAACAGCTATTTTGCTCTCTTGTTCTTTTTCTTTGAGACTGCCTCTTGTACAATATTGCAAACCTCTGTGCATAGTTCTTCAGGCACTCCAGATCTAATATCTTAAGTCTATTTGTCACTTCCACTTCATCTTCATAAGGGATGTTATTTAGATTTTACCTATACAGTCTGAGGTTTTCCCTACTTTCTTCAGTTTAAATCTGAATTTTGCAATAAGAAACTCGCGAACTGAGCCACAGTTAACTCCAGGTCTCGTTTTAACTGACTATGTACAGCTTCTCTACCTTTGGCTGCAAAGTATATAATCATTCCAATTTCTGTTTTGACCATCTGGTGATGTCCCTGTGTAGAGTCGCCTTTTGGGTTGTTGAAAAGAGGTGTTTGCTGTAACCAGCGAGTTCTCTTGACAAAACTCTGTTAGTTTCTACTCTGCTTCATTTTGTACTCCAAGCCTGTTTAACTTGCCTGTTAATCCAGTTATCTTTTGATTGCCTACCATAGCATTCCAAGCTTCTGTGATAAATGACATCTTTTTTTGGTGTTATTTCTAGAAAATGTTGTAGGTCTTCATATAACTGATCAACTTTAGTCTCTTTGGTATCAGTGGTTGGAGCATAGACTTGTATTACTGTGACGTTGAAACAGTTTGCCTTGGATTCGAACAGATATCATTCAGTCACTTTTGAGATTATACACCTGTACTGCTTTTCTCGCCCTTTTATTGACCATGAGGATTACTCCATTTCGTCTAAGAAGTTCTTGCCCACAGTAATATATGTAATGATTACCTGAATTAAATTCACCTATTTCTGTCTTTTTAAGATCACTGACACCCAAGATGTGGATGTTTAATCTTTCCATCTCCTTTTTGACCACATCCAGCTTCCCTTGGTTTATTGATCTTACATTGGTTCTTATGCAGTATTGATCTTTATAAACAGCATTGGTCTTTCTTTTTATCACCTGCTGAGCTTCCTTTCAGCTTTGGCCTTAGCCACTTCATTAGTACTGGAGCTACCCATAGTTGTCCACTGTTCCCCAGTAGCATATTGGATACCTTCAGACCTGAGAGGCTTATCTTCAAATGTCATCTCTTTCATCATTTTAATACTATCCGTGGAGTTTTCTAGACAAAGATACTGGAATGTTTTGCCATTTCCTTCTCCAGGGGATCACCTTTTGTCAAAAGTCTCCACTATATGGGGCAGCTAGGTGGCACAGTGAATAGAGTGCTGGCCCTGGAGTCAGGAGGACCTGAGTTCAAATCTGGCCTCAGACACATAACACTCACTAGCTGTGTGACTCTGGGCAAGTCACTTAACACCAATTGCCTCATAAAACAAAAAACAAAACTTTCCACTGTGACCTGTCCACCATGGGTAACCCTATACAGCATAGCTCATTGTTTCATTGAGCTATGCAAGCCCTTCTGCCACAACAGTGCAGTGATCCAGGAGGGGATATGAAAAGTTGCCCTGGTTCTGTTTACCTCACTCTGCATCAGTTTACAAGTCTTCTCAGGTTTCTTTGAAACTATCTCCTTCATTATTTCTTATAGCACAGTAGTATTCTATTATATACACACCATAACTTATTCAACCATTCCCCAATTTATGAATACTCCCTCAGATTCCCATTCTTTTTCACCTCAAAGAGAACTAAAAATATTTTTGCACATTCTCAGAATTTGTTTTGCTTAGAACTAATCCTTCCCTTAACCTATTCTTTCACTAATCTACTCTTCCCCTTCTTTCCCTCTTATTTCTGTGATGAGTGAAATGTATTTCTGTACTTAACTGTGTGTGTGTATTCTCTCCTTTGACTAGTTCACATGAGTAAGGTTCAGATGTCAGCCACTGCCCTTCAGCCCCTTCTCCTTGTTGATATAGAGTGATAGACTATTCTTTGTGTACTTTGATTTTATGAGATAATTTTCCTGCTTTTTTCCCCTAGTATATTTCTTTTACTCTCCCTTTCCATTCTTTTCTTTAGATCATCAAGGCATAACAGAACTATTCCCAGACCTTCTGTCTAATTAAACTCACTCTGTGAGTCATGATGATGATAGAGTTCATAGGGGACATCTGTGTCATGTCTGTTTATTGGATCGTAAACCATTTATCCTTGTTTAGATCTTTAGAATTGTTTGTGTTTACCTTTTTTTTTTAATTCTTGTGTTTGAACTTTTAAAATTTCTACACAGCTCTGTTCTTTTCATCAGGAATGCTTGGGAATCCTCTGTTTCATTAAAGGTTTATTTTCTCCCCTCTAGCATTATACTTTATTTTTCTGGGTATGTCATTGTTGACTAAAAGTCTATTCCCTTTGCTTTCTGGAATATCATTTTCCATGTTCTCCACTCCTTTATAGTGATGGCTGCTAAATTGTGTGTGATCCTCACTGTGTGTCTGCAGTACTTGAATTCTTCTTTCTGGCTTCTTGCAGTGTTTTTTTTTTTCTTTGATCTCTTAGCTCTGAATTTTGGCTATAATGTTCCTTGGAGTTTTCGTTTTGGAGTATCTTTCAGGAGGTGATGTTCTTTCTATTTTCAATTTACCTTCTGATTCTAAGAGATCTGGGCAATTTTCTTTTAAAATTTTGTGAAATATGAGTTATGGGTTTTTGGGGTTTTTTGTTTTTGTTTTTGTTTTGTTTTTGTTTTTTGGTAATGACATTCAAGTAGTGCAAAGATTCTTAATTTTTTTTTCTCCTTAGCTTTCCAGGTCAAGTCTCTGGCAGAGATACTTTACATTTTCTTCTTTTTGTTGCCAGTTTTTGACCTTATTTTAGTATTTCCTGTTTCATGGAGTCATCAGTTTCTTCTTGGTCCATTCTGATTTCCAGGGAGTTTTTTTCTTGGGCAAGATTTTGTGCTTGTTGTGCCAAGCTATTAATTATTAATTCCCTTTCCAATTCTTTCTTCCATAGCTCTCGTTTCTTTTCCAACTTTTTTCTCAAGTGCTCTCATTTCACTCTTATAAAAACATTTTAAAGTCTTTTTTAACTCCAGCTTCATCTTTTCCAGGAATTCTAGGTGAATTTGTGCCCAAACTATGTCATTATCTATAGTTTTGCTTATAGATGTTTTGGAGTCATTCTTTCTAGGTTTGTGTCGTGGGCATCCCTGTCATCATAATAGCTTTTTATGGAGGAATTCTTTTTTTGCTTGTTCAATCTTCCAGCTTATTTTTTTTTTATTTCAAACTCCATGTTATGAACTGGCTCTATGCACTTATTGATGTTCAATATCAAGTTTATAACAGAACTCTTTAATGCTAAAAATATGTTTAGAGGAGGTAGATACAGGATAGCAGAAGAGCAGGAAGTACAGTAACCTCAGAATGCCTCCAAACATACCTAGAGATTGCACCAGACTTAATCCAGATGGGGGAAATCCAAGAAAGTCACTGGGCTGTTCCTGTTGTTACTTTCCTGGAGTACTGAGTGTTAGGTTATTCTACGATATGGCTGAGTCTGTTACCTATTAGTGTTCCCAAAGTGGTCTGATCCAGGGCAGAGTCTGATGCTGCGCCTTTGGTCTGAGCTCTGCAAGTTCCTGACATGAGTTTGAGGGTAAGCAGTAGAAGACTGTTGCTGAACTCTACCACTCTCCAGCTGGAAAGTTCTGATTGAGAGTGAGAACGACAGGTTTCCCTTTAGTCTGAGATTCCTGCCCTGGTTATTCCTCCATGGGTTTGAGACTGGACTAGAAGCTAGAACAAAGACCCTTCTCTGCTTTTGGGATCTGAACTTCACTACTACTGCTTCTGAAGTGTCCATATACCTATCTATCTCCTTATGTTGACCTGGAAAAAAGACTCACTGTGACTTTCTTGAATTCCCCCATCAGGATTTCTAGATCTGTTTGGAGAAGTTTTGAGGGGAGCTCACCATATTTTTTCCTGCTATTCTGTTATCTTGACTCTACTTCCCCATAACCCACTTTTAGCATTATTTGAACAGTTTTGTTATAAACTTGATTGTAAAAAAATCAATAAAAATCAATTACATTTGCTATACCATTTAAATTTAAGCAAAGGAATTTTAATGCATTAAATACCTTTTCAAGCACCCCTTCAGTTTTCATCAGGAATCTTTGTCCCTTCATTCCCATTTACTTTTCTTCATACATGGCTCCTCTTATAACATTTGTGCACTCTGTTATTATGATTCTTTTTTCACTTTGTGTGTCTGTTTCTCTACATCTCTGCCTGTATTGTTTTGAATTATATTTGTCATTTTGGTTATCAGCTTGTTTCTGATTATTGAGCCAAGTATTTTTCAGATAATTATTAACAACTTCTTCTTTGGAAAATTGTCAACATACCTAAAAAAATTTTTTTTCTAGTTTATGTTTTGACTTTTGCTTGTATCAAATCATTGGAAGTATGTACTAGGACGAGAATAAGTTTTTCAAATTTCAAAACATGACTTTACCATCTTGATTATGATTACATCTACTAGTTAGGAAGTGCTTAACCTTAGTGAATGGAATAGAAACTAGTGGAGAGTAACTTTCTGCCTTAAAGATTTAATTTAAGGTTGTTTTTTAAAAAAGTGTAATTTCCCTTTTGGGAGTTGGTTGAAAGTTTCACTTTTTAGATCAGAATTAACATAAACCCTTGAATGATACAAAAAATTAAGTTATTAGTCAGATTCATAATTTCTTATGCTTTATTTTTCCTTTCCACAGGGGCAGCTTTTACAGAAGGATTATCAAGTGGTTTAAGTACTTCTGTTGCTGTCTTTTGTCATGAATTACCTCATGAATTAGGTAAGAACCATTTTTAATCTGCATTTTTAGCATATTTATATGGATTATTCTTTTACTACTGCACTATTAGAATTTTTTGGATCGTTGGTTCTCTAAATTTAGTCACCAGGTGTAATGATTTTAGAAAGGAGTAAAGAGGCTTCTGCTTTAGAGTACCAAATATTGATTCACTTATATTTGCACCAATGAATCTTCAAAAGACAGTGGTTTGTCTGCCTAAACAATTTTTTCATTTGATCTTCTTTAACAGTCATGAGCATCTACACAAATGCAGTAATATTCAAATGATTGTGTGACCTTATTGTTTGGGAAAGCTCCAGCTATCAGTGCAGATCACAATCTGTCTTTGCCTGCCCGTCCTGTGGGACTTACCCATATTCTCCCACAAGTTCACCCAACTTTTGCTGGAGGACTAGTTTGATTTCACTTGATGTCTCAAGGATACCAGTCAAGCACTTTGGATGTCCACCTATTATCAGTCACCTGTCTTATATGACCAATCCATCTTCTCTTCTTATTTGGTATTACTTTGTATCTATTTATTTTCTATTAAATTTACCAACTTCTATTTTTTTCCCCATTCTCAGTTTAATTTGTTACTTAGTCTAGTCCAAAGACGCCCCTCTTCCCAGCTTGTCTGTTATTATCATTATCTCACTTTAAAAAATAATTTTATTGATATCTTTTGTTTTTACATCTCCTACATTACCTATATATCACTTCCCTCATCCTCTCCCAGAGAGCCAGCCAGCCATAATAAAGAATAAGAGAAAGAAAGAAAAATAAAGAATGAAAGGAGAAAGAAGTTTAAGCAAAACTAACCAAATTATCAAAGACATCTCACATTATGTGTAGTGTTATATACACATGGTCATGCCCCTCTGCAAAGCAGTAGAGAAAGCTGTCTTCTGATTATTTTTCTTTGGGGTCAGACTTTGTCATTAATGATTTCAGAACATTCAGTTTTGATTGTTTTGTTGTTTTTCTTACCATTTGTAGTATGTTGTTCTAGTCATTGAGTATATTGCTTTCTTTTTATATATATATATATATTTTTTTAGTTTTCAACATTCACTTCCACAAGTTTTTGAGTTCCAAATTTTCACCCCATCTCCTCTCTCCCCCCACCCCAAGATGTCGTGCATTCTGAATATCCCTTCCCCTACTCTGTCCTCTCTTTTATATCTCTCTCCTTCTCTTATCCCCTTCCCCTTCTATTTTCCTGTAGGGCAGGACAGACTTCTGTACCCCATTTCCTATATTTATTTCCCAGTAGCATGTGAAACATTTTTTTAAACATATTTTTAAAACTTTAGGTTTCAAATTTTCTCTCTTCCTCCCTCCCCACCACCCTCTTTGAAAAGGCAAGCATGTGTGCAGTTATGCAAAACACGTCCATAGTAGACATGTTGTGAAAAACTAACTCTATTTACCTTAATCCTATCCTGCCCTCCCATTTATTCTATTCTTTCTTTAAACCCTGTCCCTCCTCAGAAGTATTTACTTCTGATTAACCCCTTTCCCAGTCTGCCCTCCTCTCTGTCATCCCCCTGGTCTCTTGTCCCCTTCCCCCTATTTTCCTGTAGGGTAAGACAGATTTCCATACCCAATTGAATGTGTATGTTATTCCCTCCTTAAGCCAAATCCTATGAGAATAAGATTCACTCATTCCTTCTCACCTTCCCCCGTTTCCCCTTCCACTGTAAGAGACTTTCCTTTTCTGTTTTTTTGTGAGATAATTTACCCCATTCTACCTCTCCCTTTCTTCTTCTCCAGATATAATCCTCTATCATCCCTTAATTTTATTCTCCAGATATGACCCCTTAATCTTCAGCTCACCCTGTGCCCTCTATCTATCTATCTACATATACATACATATAATTTTTTTCCTCCAACTACCCTGATACTGACAAAGGTCTCATGAGTTATAAATATCATCTTTCCATGCAGGAATGTAAACAGTTCAATCTTAATAAGTCTCTTATGATTTCTCTTTCCTGTTTACCTCTTCATGTTCCACTTGAGTCCTGTATTTGAAAGTCAAATTTTCTATTCAGCTCTGGTCTTTTCATCAAGAATGCTTGAAAGTCCTCTATTTCACTGAATGACCATTTTTTCCCTGAAGGATTATACTCAGTTTTGCTGGGTAGGTGATTCTTGGTTGTAATCCTATCTCCTCTGCCCTCCGAATATTATATTCCATGCCCTGCGTCCTTTAATGTAGAAGCTGCTAAATCTTGTGTTATCCTGATTGTGTTCCCACAGTACTTGAACTGTTTCCTTCTGGCAGCTTGTAATATTTTCTCCTTGACCTGGGAACTCTGGAATTTGGCTACAATATTCTTAGGAGTTTTCCTTTGGGAATCTCTTTCAGGAGGAGATCTGTGGATTCTTTCAATTTCTATTTTGCCCTCTGGTTCTAAAATATCAGGGCAGTTTTCCTTGATAATTTCTTGAAAGATGATGTCTAGGCTCTTTTTTTTGATCATGGCTTTCAGATAGTCCAATAATTTTTAAATTCTCTCTCCTGGATCTATTTTCCAGGTCAGTTGTTTTTCCAATGAGATATTTCACATTGTTTTCTAATTTTTCATTCTTTTGGATTTGTTCTACTGTGTCGTGATTTCTCATAAAGTCACTATCTTCCAATTGCTCTATTCTAATTTTTAAGGAAGTATTTTCTTCAGTAAGCTTTTGGACTTCCTTTTCCATCTGGCCAATTTTGCTTTTTAGGGCATTTTTCTCCTCATTGGCTTTTTGGACCTCTTTTGCCATTTGGGTTAGGCTATTTTTTAAGGTGTTATTTTCTTCAGTATTTTTTTGGGTCTCCTTTAGCATCACTCTCAGTTTTTCCTCTACTTCCCTTACTTGCTTCTCAAAATCGTTTTTGAGCTCTTCCATGGCCTGGGACCAATTCATATTTTTCTTGGAGGCTTTGGATGTAGGGGCTTTGACTTTGTTGTCTTCTTCTGGTTGTATATTTTGGTCTTCTTTTTCACCAAAGTAAGATAATATAGTCTAACCCTTTTTGCGCTGCTTGCTCATGATCCCAGCCAATTACTTGAGTTTTAAACTCTTTGTTAAGGTACGAATCTGCTTCCAATGTGGAGAATGTACTGTCCCAAGCTTCAGGGGTTTGTACAGCTGTTTTCAGAGATACTTGTAGGGACCTGTAAATTTTCAGTTCTTCCAAGGTGGTATGATAAGGGGTGAGGTGTTTACTCCTTTCCTGGCCTGAGACTATAAGTACTCCTTTCTGTCCTGTAACTGTGAGGAGGGGCTCCTCTCCACAACCACTACAAGCTCCACCAAGCCAGTGCTCCTCCTCACCTCAGCACCGCTGCCCAGAACTGTGGCCCAGATCCAAACGCAGGCAAAGCAAGAGATACCTGCCTCAGCACTGGCAAAGAGATCCCTGCAATCCCTCTCTGATCAGCCACTGGATTCCCCCTCAGTCTGTGGGCCGGAAGCTCGGGAAGCAGCTGCTCGCGAGCGCTGCCCCCCCCCCCCCGCCCGCCATGCTCTTGGGGAATGGAGCTGAAACCCCGCCTTCCTTTCTCAGCACCGACAGAAACAGACTTTTTCCACTGACCTTCTAAGTTGTCTTTGGCATTGGTGGATTGAGGAGTCTGGAAACCTCCACAGCTGCCCGAGATTTAGTCCTCTGAGGCTTGCACGCCCACGCTGCGGCCTGTGCATCCATGCCGCGCTGCGCTCCCAGCCTGGCACAATACACCTTTCTGATCAATCATCCAGGTTGTCTTGGGCTGGAAATTTGTTTCACTCTGTCTTTTTGTGGGTTCTGCTGCTTCAGAATTTGTTTAGACTCTTGGCAGCTAGGTGGCACAGTGGATATAGCACTGGCCCTGGAATCAGGAGGACCTGAGTTCAAATCCGGCCTCAGACACATAATACTTCCTAGCTGTGTGACTCTGGGCAAGTCTCTTAACCTCAATGGCCTCATTAAAAAAAAAAAAAGAAAGAATTTGTTTAGATCCATTTTTTATGAGTATTTGGAGATGTTTGGAGGAGAGCTCAAGCAAGTCACTGCTTTCACTCTGCCATCTTGGCTCCGCCTCCGAGTATATTGCTTTCTTGATTTTTCTGCTTGCTTCGTTTTGTATCACTCAATATAAGCATTTGTATTTTATCATATTTACCATTTCTTACAGCACAGTAATATTTTATCATATTCATGTATCATAGTTTGTTTATACATCTCCTAATCAATAAAGCAGCCACTTTGATTTCAATTCTTTGCTGCGACAGAAAGTGTTGCTATAAATATTTTGATGTAAAATAGGACCTTTCTGTAATTAACTTCCTTAAGGTATGTGTATAACTGGTGGAATCTCTAGTCAAAGGAAAGTCACTTTCTTTGAATAATTCCAGATAGCTTTCTATAATAGTTATATCTAATCATACTCCCCACCCACAATGTATCAGTGATCTTGTCTTTCCCAAATTGACTATTATCTTTTGTCATCTCTGCCAGTTTACTGGGTATGAGAGGAAACTTCAGTGTTATTTTGTTTTGCATTTCTCTTACTATTAGTGATTTGAAATATTCTTTCCTATGATTAAGAATTTTTAATTCTTTTGAGAACTGTTTTTTCATATACTTTGACCACCTACCTATTTGGTCTTATATAGACAGTGTAACTATACCTATATCCTAGATGAAGGAAATATGTATCATGGATATCAGGCTCTAATTGGTGATATTTGATACAAAGTTTTTTGTTTTTTTAATACACAGGCAACCACTTTCCTTTTTATTCCATTTGCATTAATTTTGTTTATGCAAAAGTTTTTCAGTTTTCATGCAGTCAAAACAATCTATTTTATCTTTTGTAAATCACATTTAGTTCCTTGTTTGGTTAAGTTTTCATCCCCTTGAAATAGTACTTTCAGACTTCACACCATATTATAAAGCAACAGTCATCAATCAATAGAATGGACTACAGAACGGAGAATCAGAAATAATAAAACCGAATAATCCAGTGTTCAGTAAACCTGAAAACATAAATTACTTAGGAAAAAACTCCCTATTGGTTAAGAACTGGGAAAACCGTTAAGCAGTCCAGAGGTTTACTGCTAGACGTATAGCCCAGGGAGGTCATTGATAAAAAGAAAGGCCCTATATACACCAAAATATTAATTAGTAACACTCTTTGTGGTAGCAAAGAATTGGAAGCAAAGTAGATGCCCATAAATTGTGGTACATTAATGTAATCAAATATTAGTGTGCTGTAAAAAATTAATAATATGGAAAAAATTAAATAGCCAACATGAACTGATGAAAATTTAAGTAGAGCCAAGAAAAGATTGTATGCAAGAAATATAGCAGTGTAAATAGAATTACCATAAAACAAAACCAAAAGAATTTTGCAAAATTACAAAGAACAAACAAGACCCTGAAAAAAAAAGAGAAGACAGCTCATCCCAATCCCTGGCAGAGGTGGGAAGTCTGCAGGTGTGAAACAGTGTATGTATTTGCAGATTTTTTTGTGTGTGTGTTCATTTATTTTACTGATTTCTTTTACTTTTTAAAAAAGTTATTCTATGCGGTAGTTCTCTAGGAAGTGAAGAGAGTGATACAGGAGGGGAAAATACAAGTAATGTTAAAAATAAAAGATAATAATAAAAATTTATTTTAAAAAATTCACCCCCAGTCATTATTGTATAAGGTATATAATCTTTATGTTATGATCTTTAATATTCATGTCACAAATGCATTCTGAGTTTACTGTGGTGTAAGGTGTAAGACGTTTGTTTAAACTTAATTTCTGCCAGAATTCTTTCTATGACTTTTGCTTTATAATTTAGTTTAAGGTCTAGAAGTGCTATATGCCACTTTTATTAAGGTTAGAAACTTAATATCTTTCTTCCTTTCCCTTTTTTATTGGAAAACACTACATGATGCAACTGCTTTCTTTGAAATACTTTGTTCCTGACATTGCTGGACCTTCCCTTATATTATTGTAGCAGCCTCCTAGAGAGCCTCTCTGACTATTCTCTTTTCCCTAATCTCCAAATACTGCTTTTTCTATGTCACTTTTATGTTCAAAATGTAATAAATGGGCTCTGTATATATTGCCCATTCAGACACCTTTGCTTGATTTTTAAAGGCTTCCTCATCACTCTCACTTTACCTGTTGAACCTAATTTCCCATTTCTGCCCCAAACACATCTTGACTCCATCAGATTCTTTCTCCTGTTCATGTCTGTTGTTTAAAGTATGTTGTATTTTCCATAGTTTGAAGCATTTTTGTAAGTGCTAGATAAATATTTGATGGGAGGTTCCAGTCTTGCCTCTGAGGCTTAAATACCTGGATAACCATCAGCAAGTTAGTTAATTTCTTTGTGTCTCAATTTCTCTGTAAAATGTGAATAATATTAGTTGGCATATCTGCCTTCAAGGGCTATTTTGAGACTTAAATGTGAATGTTTCTCAATGCTTTGCAAATGTAAGAGGATTAAATAAATATCCTTGACTTGATTGATTTGCTAGGAGGATGGCAGACAGACCCAGGGAAATATTCATCAATGAATGAACACAATCACTTCAGTGTTCTTTTTTTAATAAATTACACAGCTGAAAAAAAATAATCATTTGATGAATCTTAATGTAATGAAAAATTTTGCTTTTTAAATTAAAGAATTTTTTTAATCCTAAAATTATAAAAATCTTGTCCTTTCATAAAAGCTGTAATTTTGTTTAATTTATTTTTGTCTGAATAACTTAGTTTTGTTAGAATGTAGTAAACTTAGTAGTTTATTTTTCGTTTAAATCTAAGACTGCCTTTTTGTGCACACATCTTCATACACTTAGCTTCATTGTTTTTGTTAATAATGATGGAAACCTATAATGGCTTTTTTTGTTTCTCTCTCACATAGGTGATTTTGCAGTTCTGTTAAAAGCTGGCATGACTGTTAAACAAGCTGTTCTTTATAATGCCCTGTCAGCCATGCTGGCTTATCTTGGAATGGCAACAGGAATTTTTATTGGTCATTATGCTGAAAATGTTTCCATGTGGATATTTGCACTTACTGCTGGCTTGTTCATGTATGTCGCTTTGGTCGATATGGTAAGTTTTTATGTAATTAAATCATATTCTGTGTATATGTATAGCCTATATCGGATTGTGTGCCATCTTGGGGAGGGTGGTGGGGAGGAAGGGGAAGAAAAATTTTTAACTCAAAAGCATATGGAAGTGATTATTGATAAATCAAAATAAATTAGTAAAAAATAAATAAAATAAATCACATTCTCTGAGCATAATAACCAAATACTAAAAATAATCAGCAAGAGATTAGTTTTGAAAAAGATTTTATACAGAATGTAGCAGTGATAAAACTTGTGAGGTTTGTCCTGAGAAACACATGGAGCATCTGCTTTTCTGCAGACTGTTGGTGTCTGGTGCCAGTCATCTCCTTTCTAACACGTGTGACAGTGTTAACAATCCCATCTTCTTTTTCAGGCCTTGGCAACCCACACAGCTAGTTTAAGCTGAGTAGAATATCAAGACAGTCAGTCACCTATTAGTTATTTGTAATTATTTGGAGAAAACATAGGACGATTAAATCAGTACTTGAAGTAGTAGCAAATAGAAAACTTGGCTATATTGGTAACAAGCTCTCTTTGCTTCAGAATACTTAAAGAGCATTGGTAATTAACAAATGAACAAAGAAAGAACAAAACCCATGCAATAATTTCTGGGAATATATAAATTCAGGGTGAAGCTTCCATTTCCCAAATCTTACTTAGTCTTAACTAAAAGGAAAGAGAAAAGGGAGGAAAGAAGTTTCTGATTAGGCTGAAAATGTCAGTACCCTAGGCAGTGGCAATGTAGGAAACAATGGCATGCAAAAAGTATCCTTAATCTTGATCTTCAAAGGAAGAGTATTTTTCTAAAGGTTACAAATACCATCCCTTTGATACAGAAAAGAATAATTTTGTTTCTGGGGTCTTACAAACACCTTGACAATTCCCACAGTGTAAAACTTTTTTTTAAAGATGTATACAAAGAAATTGACACAATAGAATAACTAAGCATATTAACATTATATTATCCTATTTGAAATCTTGGACAGTTTGGTGGCACAGTGGCTAGAGTGCCTGGATTGGAGTCAGGAGGACCTGAGCTGAAATCAGGCCTCATACACTTAATAGCTGTGTGACCCTGGGCAAGTTATTTAACCCTGTTTGCCTCAGTTTCCTCATCTGGAAAATGAGCTGGAGAAGGAAATAGCAAACCACTTCAGCATCTTTGCCAAGAAAATACCAAATGGGGTGATGAAGAGTCAGACACAACTGAAAAACGACTAAACCAGCACAACAGAATTTGAGATCTGAGAAGGCAAGGGATTACTGACACAGCACTACAGTATTGTACTAAGCTGTGAAGAGCTGTGATCTTAATTTCTGCCTTTTTTAATATAGTCAACTAAAAGGGATTTTTCAAAAATATCCTTGAGGAAACTTAGAGCCATGTTGTTGGGTTTTGGTTTTTTTGTTTTTTGGGGTTTTTTTGAGAAACTGATTCTATTTCTTATTAGACTCAGAAGTAACCTCAGCAAATATCTAGTCCAGTCTCTACCCAAAGCATAATTCTCCTTATGATGTTACAACAAGGAGTCATCCAGCTTTTGCTTAAAGATAAGGCAGTCTATTCCTCTTTTGGACAACTCTAATTGGTAGAAAAGGTTTCCCTTATGTTGAGCTAAAATCTACTTCATATTATTTCTACCCCATTTGACTCTCAAGGTCTCAATAGAATAATACTAATCTCTTACAGATGATAGTCCTTTAGATATTTGAAGGATTCTCTCCTGTTCCCCTAAATTTTCCACACTGAGGTTAAACTTCATTTGTTTCTTTGTTTCCTGTTGTCAGCTTTATCTAAACATATTCTCATTTAATGGTCCTCTGAAAATATGGCACCTAAATTGTTCACAGTGCTTCTGGGTGTGATTTGACTAGGGCAAGGTTCAGTGGCTGATGTTCTTTCCCCACTTTATTACTGTACTTGTTTTAGTGCAGCTGAGTCCACGTTAGCATTTTTATTTTTTGGCTCCTGCCTAACACTACAGATTCATATTGAATTTGTAGTCTACTAGAATCTAAGTCTTTTACATGAATCATTCTAGCCGTGTCTCTAATAGATCCTATGCTTGGGCAGTTGATTTTTTTAAACCCAAGTCCAAGATTTTACCTTTTTTCTTATTTAATTGTACTAACTTCAGCCCACCCTTTCATTCTGATCTTTTGATAACCCAATTCTTTCATACAGATTATAAAATTGCCCAAAGTAATAAGAAATTTTACAGGTCATGCTTATGGAAAAACTTGCTACTTTCTTGAGCTGCCATTACATCAGCACTTGTAACTTCTCAAGCATCCTGATTTTAAACAGGATAAACCTTTTTTAAAATCTGTGAACCAACTCTTTCACTGAATCCCTGCATTTCTTATCTTTTGATCCCTTAGATTGTTCTTGAAATCCTAAAGTTTGAAGGATCATAGGATCATAGATTTGGAGGTGGAAGAACTTTAGGGGTCATCACGTTCCACCCTCTTGTTTTACAGTAGAGGCCATTGAGGCCTAGAGATGTCAAGTAACATGACCTCTGTCCCACAGCTGCTAAGCATCTAAGGCATCAGATTTTGTACCAGGGTCTTACCGACTTTCCAAGTCCAACCATTTAGCTATAACACCAGGTCATCTGGTCCAACCCTCACCCAAGTTATTAATCCCCTCTAGAGTATTAGTGAGTTACCCTGTACTCCTTCAAACATAAAGCAGCCTCTGCCTTTTTTGACTAGATAGCTAATAAAACAGTGTATTTGTTGATATTTAGATAGTGCTTTACAGAGTACATTATGTGCATTTTCATTTGATGCACTCAGAATAACCCTGTAAGGAGTCAGGTTAGGGTTTTAGAATTTTAGAGTTAGAAAAGAAAGGACTTTCAAATTAATTTAATCCAGCTCTCTCTTTTTTGGAGAAGTGAAAATAACTGCCCATAGTCATGCAACTACTTAGATCAAGCATTAGAACCTGGGTCTTTCTGACTCTAGTGGAACAAATGAGATAATAATTGTAAAGCACTTATACTAAGTTCAGTGTAAATATTATTGTTGTTAAATTGTTATCACAATAATTATTTTTAAGCATTCTGGTCAATATAGTACACTGCCTCCTGTTTTGCTCTTCCTTATATTAAATCAATATAGATTTCCTTTGAAATTTTTCACATAGTTACCAGTTCTGTCCCCTGGGGCCACATAAAACAAGTCTGATCTCCTAAAAGACAGCATTTGAAGATGATGTCATGTGTCTTCTCCTCTAACCCAAGTAATGTCTTCTCTTGGCTAAACATCCCTAGTTGTGTACACACCATTCAAGTCACCCATCTCTGGACTCTTTCCAGCTTCTCAATGTCTTTTGTGAGATGTCACCCAGAATTGAGTAATAATGCTCTAACATTGACCTTAAAACTGTAGAATCAAGTCTTTCCTTTCTATTTATACTTACTAACTTTTCATTTTAAGCATCAATCTTATTTTATGTAGTATTATTTCTATAAGCCAAACAAGAAAATTTTCATGACCTCACTACATACAAATAATATTTTTCATAATTCTATTAAAATTGCAGGAAACCTTAGAAATAATATGTTCAATATGTTTATTTTAACAGATGAGTAAGCTGAAGCCAGGGAAGGTGTTAACACTTCCCACATTAAAACTAGTAGTTTTAGAGCCAGGAAATACACTAAATTTAATTTATACTTTAAGTATTAGAGAATCAGACTAATGCCTATGTTATAGAATTTTTTTAATCAGGCTTTTTACTATATGTTATTTAGGGAGAGAATGGTTTGATTCTTGATAATTCCAAATCTGTGCAATGAATTGTTTAAATGAAATGCTACAGTTTTATAGGACATATAGCTTTGCTTAAAGCTTTTATAAAAATCACTTATGGGGGCAGCTAGGTGGCACAGTGGATAGAGCATGGACCCTGGATACAGGAGGCCCTGAGTTCAAATTTGGCCTCAGACACATAACACTCACTAGCTGTGTGACCCTGGGCAAGTCACTTAACCCCATTGCCTAGCCAATAAATAAATAAAAGTAAAAATCACTTCTGAAATAATTTTGTGGTGTTGTTACTATTTAAATTAGTATACTCTATGGCAGATTGTTCAAAATTGATATCTGTTGGGCTGGAAATTTTAGCAATGTAATGATTTTTTTCTTTTCTTTTTTTAGGTTCCTGAGATGCTTCACAATGATGCTAGTGACCATGGGTGTAGCCGCTGGGGATATTTTCTGTTACAGAATGCTGGGATACTACTGGGTTTTGGTATTATGTTACTTATTTCTGTGTTTGAACATAAAATTGTATTCAGTATAAATTTTTAAATTGGGTCATTAATGTTAGAATAAATCTTTTCTACTTATTTGTTGCTCTATTTCAGATATAGGTCATAGGGGAGCTGGGTTTTGTTGTTTTTGGTTTTTTATGTGCTTCATTGAGTTTATATTTAGTAGTACTTGAAATTTTATATTAAATATTGCTGTTGGTTATGACTGTAAAATTAGCTACTGAAGTAACAAAAGGTACGTTTAGTGATGTTTAAGTTATTCTGTTCTGGAAGTATACCTATGATGTTAAGGTTCACCAGTATTTACAGCTTTGCTGTATGGACAAGTGATGTGGTATGGCATGGCACGTTCTATATATAGTTCAGTTTGAAAAAACAAAACTTTTTTCTCTGATTCCTTCAGAAATTACTTTCTAACATAATTTTGCTCATACCAGATTTTAAATCTGACGTTCTTCTGTAATCAGGGGTAGTGGAATCTTCAGTATCCTAAGATATGCTATCTGTGGGCAATGGAAGATCTATATACTTGAAATCAAAATGAGAAGATGTAAAGAGTTTTAGTTTGAGAAAGAAAAGGACCTATGAAGCAAGAATGGTTGCCTGGAAGTACTATTATAATTACAAAAAAGTCACTAGCTATTTAGCAGGTGAGGAAAGAAAAGAATGTGAAGGCTTTGAAGTTGAGTGAAAGTTTAATGGATACACTGCAGGAAAAAAAACATTCTGGGCATTGCTGTTTTAATATTCGTACTCTACTCAGGTGTATACTTAGCCCTCTTTTTGTAACAACAAAAAATATGAATAGCTTGAATGAGATCATCATAACATCAACTGGTGTAATGGTTGACTGGAAAATCTCAAGTCCTAAACCATGGTGTGATGGGATATGAAACTTAGAGAGGAAACTCTTACTTCTCCAGAATAGTTAGGAAATGAGATGTTCTTATTATTTGTGACTTGCCCTACATGCCTGTACCTACATTGCTAATTTTCAAAGGGTTAGAGTACAATTACTTGTAATCACAGCTACAAGTACTAAATCCAGGAAACTGTTGAGCACAATTTGATCTTTCTTTGCTAATTAAGAAGGCACTTCATGATCTTGAAAAGCCTCAGGGTCAACATTTTGGACATTACTTATTATTTTATGGTACTTTAGTTGTGACCCTATGGCATGAGAAGTTTGTTCTTTAAATAAATCTTTTATATGTTTTTCTTGTTGTTTGTATAATTTTCATAAAATGAGAGTGGAAAATGTGTAAAGGCATAGATTCTGAGACATTGTATTCCGGCTGCCTTTCTGCAAACTCATATTAAAGACTAAGAGTCCTTTGCCCAATTTTGGCTTCTTTATTAGCAACTCTGTAGGTGCTACTTCAATTACCTTTTAAATTCAACCTATTCTACTGAATTTTCATTAATTTTTTTTATCTAGATTTAAAGAGGGTTTGTCCTTCACCATTTAAAGAATTTGTGCTATTATATTTAGGGCAGGGGTTCTTTACCTTTTGTGTGACATAAACCACTTCTTAGGGGTTAGTGTCATATATGTGGTCAGGGTAGCAACCCGCATGAGGTTCCTTTCAGTTGTAGATACAGGATCCTCTAATCTTGTCTTCCTAATAAGTTGAGTAAAATAGTAGAATGCAAAATAAATCACAAAAATCATCAGCATTTCTCCAAAGCATTAACAAAAGCTAGAAGTAAATGATAACTACACAATACACAAAACACCTGGGAGTCGATCTACCAAGACATAACGTAGGATTTACATAAATGCAACTATAAATACTTTTTACAGAAATACAGACATAATTTGGAGGGAAGTTCATTGTTCATGGTTAGAACATGTCAAGATAACAAAAATAATCTTTTAAAAATCAGACTTATAGTTTCACTGGTATAGGGAACCCAGGTGAGGAAACCTCTTTTACCGTTGCAGATCAGGAACTGCTCAGCACTTACAATCTTAGTATCACCTGGAGTACAGAGTGCCCCATGGGACTTGCCCATGGTCGCACAGCTAGGACTTGAACCTAGTTCTTTCTGCCTCCAAAGTCAGCTCTCCATTCACCAAGCCATGCTACCTGTAATAAAAATAACTATACTACCTAAATCCACTTATAGATGTCCTATACCAATAAAAATGCCAAGGAGTTGCTTTACAGAACACTTCAAAATAGTAAATTCATTTGGAGGAATATAAGGTCTACAATTTCAAGAGAAATAATGAAATAAACTAGGAATGAAGGGAATATGAGGCATAGCATTATCTCAAACTATTGTAAATAGGAATTACCAAAACTATTTGGTGTGGCTTTAATAATAGGAAAATAAGTCAGTGGAGCAGACAAGATAAACAAAACCTAGAAGAAATTGGACATAGAAATCTATTATTCAGTAAATCCAAGAATAAAAACTACTGGGGAAATTGTAGGAAAATGGCAGAGTAAGGCAGCAAACTACCTGGCTCTTCCAAATTCCCCCACAAATAAGTTAAAATTTTCAGAATAAATTTTAGAGTGGCAGAAATAATTGAAAACTTAGGGTAAAGCAGTTATCCAACCTAAGACAGCTAGGGAGGATAGTAGGAAAGATCTGACCTTTGGGTTGGTGGTCTGGCCTGATTGGGCAGCTAATTAGAGGAAGATTATGGTGACCCCTCAAGGGTGCTGGACCAGGACCCAGGTGTGCTGATCATATAGGGTCCTAAGCTGTGGTTATGGGCCAGGGGCCCTGTTCTTATGATCATTGCAGGAAAGCCAAGTCCCTGGTTTCCATTCCAGGGCAGAGATGCAAGCTGATGCTTGCAAATGCCTGAGAAACCAGAGGAAGCAAGAGCATTTTTCTGTGTCAACAATGCTGGGGGACCTGGTGGTGGCTCACTGTGGTAGAGAGGAATACACGGAGTCACTTATAGACCAAGACATGAGCCAGAGGAGCAGGGATCACACCTGGCTTTGCATTATAAAACATCTGAAGAAACAAGAGGTCAAAGGCCCCCGATACAGCTCAAAAAAAACAGCAGGAAAACCTGAAGCTAGACACCACATCTTGGGAGCAGAGCCTGGTTCTAATGTAAAGCTAACAGCCGAGAAATAGCCATTTAGAAAAAAATAAAAAAGCAGAGAAAGAAGCCTATCATAGATAGCTATTTTGGTGATGGAAATCAGAGGTCAAACTCAGAAAAAGACAAAACAGTTTTTTGTAAAGCTTCAATGTAAAATGGTCATGAACCCAAAAAAAGTTCTTGGAAGAGCTTACAAAGGACTTTAAAAGTCAAATAAAAAAGGTTGAGGAAAAATCAGGAAAATAAGAGTAATGCAATAAAAGTATGAAAAAAAATCAACCAATTGGAAAGAGATCCAAAAACTTGCTGAAGAAAATAATGCCTTAAATTCAAATTGAATAAGGGGAAGCTAATGATTTCATAAGACATCAAAAGATAAAATAGAAAGAATTTTTAAAAATCCACCAGTTACCACCTGAAAGAAATTCCAAAATGAAAACTCAAGAGGAGCATTATAGCTAAGTTTCAAAGCTCCCAAGTCAAGAAGAAAATATTACAAGCAATTAGGAAGAAAATGTTAATACAATATTCCAAAGAGCAAAGGAGAAGGCAAAAATACTGGCGGGGTTTACCATTTCTTTCTCCAGCTCATTTGACAGATGAGGAAACATGTAAATAAGGTTAAATGACTTGCTCAGGATCACAAAGCTAGTTAAGTGTCTAAGGCCAGATTTGAACTAAGAGAGAGGAAATCTTCCTGACTCCAGGCTCAGCACTCTATCTAGTTCACCACTTAGCTGCCCAACATATATTTAACATAAGTTTCTTTAACTTACAGAAAAATAAAATGAGGGAGGAATTCAAGTTCTTAGAAGGGTGTATGGATTAAGAAACAGGAGGGCAATGGGATAAAATAAGGGAGGAACTTTTAGAAGGGTGTGCGGATTAGGGAGGCAGTAATCAGAAGTCAATTAGACTTCTGAGGAGGGATAGGTTAAAAATAGAGAAGGGAAAATAGGATGGAGGGAAATGTACAAGTAATTATAACTTTGAATGTGAATGGAATTAACTCATCCATAAAATGGAAACTGATAGCAGAATAGACCAAAAGCTAGGCCTAACAATATGTTATTTATAAGAAATACATTTAAAAATAAAAGATACACAGTAAAAATAAAAGTCTGGAATAGAATTTACTATGCCTCAGCTTATGTAAAAAAAAAAAGGCAGGGGTAGCAATCATGATCTCAGACCAAGTTAAAGCTAAAAGAGATTTAGTTAAAAGAGATAATCAGGAAAACTATTATATTAAAAGTACCATAGATAATGAACTAATGTCAATATTAAGCATATATTCACCAAATGCTATAGCATTCAGATTTTTAAAGGAAAAGATAAATAAATTATAGGTGGAAATAGCAAAGCTATAATGAGAAGATTTCAACCTTCCCTTCACAGAACTAGACAAATCTAATGAAGAAGAATCAAGGAGATTAATAGAATCTCAGCTAGAATATGATCTTAGATATGATAGACATTTGGGGAGAATTGAATGGGAACAGAAAGGAATATACATTTTTCTCACCTTTATAAAAAATTACTAAATTAGGTCATAAAAACTTTATAGTTAAATGCAGAAAAGCAGAGATACTAAATGCATTCATTTCAGATCATAATGCAATAAAAATTACATTTAATAAAGGACCATGGGAACACAGATTTTAAATTAATAAGCAAATTAGGAGAGCAAGGAATGGTTTGCCTCTCAGATCTATGGAAAAAGGAAGAATTTATGACCAAACAAAAGTAGAGAACATTATGAAATGCAAAATTGATAATTTTGATTACATTCAATTAAAAAGGGTCGGCATAAACAAAACCGATGCAACCAAGGATTAGAAGTAAATCAGAAAGCTAGGGAACAATTTCTACGGAAGTGTTTCTGATAAAGGCCTCATTTCTCAAATATATAGAGAACCAAGTCAAATTTGTAAGAATACAAGTTATTCCCCAATTGATAAATGGTCAAAGGATATAAACAGGCAATTTTCAGATGAAGAAATTAAAGCTATCTATAGTCATGAAAAAATGCTTTAAATCACCGTTGATCAGAGAAATGCAAATTAAAACAACTCTGAGGTACCACCTCATCCCTATCAGATTGGCTAATATGACAAAAAGGTAGAATGATGGATGTTGAGGAAGATGTAGGAAAATTGGGACATGAATGCATTGCTGGTGGAGTTATGAACTGGTCCTACCATTTTGGAGAGCAGTTTGGAACTATGCCCAAAGGGCAAACTGTGCATACCCTTTGATCCAGCAATGCCGCTGCTAGGACTGTATTCCATAGAGATTATAAAAAAGGGAAAAGGACCTACTTGTACAAAAATATTTATAGCAGCTTTTTTTGTGGTGGCAAAGAATTGGAAATTGAGGGGATGCCCATCAATTGAGGAATGGATGAAGAAGTTGTGGTATATGAATGTAATGCAATACAATTGTTCCAAAAGAAATGGTGAGCAGGTGAATTTCAGAAAAACCTGGAAAGACTTACAAGAACTAATAGTGATTGGAGTGAGCAGGACCAGGAAAATATTGTACATAGTAACAGCAACATTGTACAATGACCAACTGTGATAGACTTAGCTTTTCTCAGCAAGACAATGATCCAAGACAATTCCAAAATGCTATCTACGTCCAGAGAAAGAACTATGGAACCTGAATGCAGATCAAAGCATATTATTTTCACTTTTTTTGTTGTTTTTTGTGTTTTTTCTCTTGTTTCTTTTTTCACAACATGACTAACGTGGAAATATGTTTAACATGTTTGAACATGTATAACCTATATCATATTGCTTGCCATCTTGGAGGAGGGGAGGAGAAGGAGGGAGAGAGAAAAATTTGCAACTTAAAATATAAAAAATGATCGTTGAAAACTATCTTTACATGTAATTGGAAAAAATAAAATGCTATTTACAAAAAAATTAAAATTAATTGGAGACTAATTAACAATCTTAAAGAATGAGTAAGTTAAAGAACAAGTCATAGAAATAACAAATAATTGTGTTGAAGAGAATGATAATAATGAGACAACATATCAAAACTTACGGGATGCAGCAAAAGCAGGAAAATGTATATCTCTAAATGCTTACATCAATAAAATAGGGAAAGAGCAGATCAATGAATTGGATATGCTATTTAAAAAAACTAGAAAAAGAACAAATTTAAAATCCCTAGTTAAACACTAAATGGGAAATCTTGAAAATTAAATGTAAGATTAACAAAATTGAATGTAAGAAAACCACTGAATTAATAAATAAAACTGGCTGATTTTGTGGGAAAAAAAACCTAATAAAATAGATATACTGTTGGTTAATATTTTTAAAAAGAGAGAAAACCAAATCACTAGTACAAAAAAGGCAAATATACCACTAATGAAGATGAAATTAAAGCAATTATTAGGAGTTATTTTGCCCATTCATATACCAATAAATTGAACAATTAGGTGGCGCAGTGGATAGAGCACTAGCCCTGAAGTCAGGAGGACCTGAGTTCAAATTTGGCCTCAAACCAAACACTTGACACTTGAGACTAGCTGTGTGACCC